AGCAATAGCTCGAAATTGGGATCGTGGGGTGTAAATGTTCCAGGGAGAAGGGCTTTTGCAATGAAGGGAGGCGGGAGAGTTAAAAAGTATAGAGGGAGTGAGTCGTGACAAGGGAGAGTGTGTGACTCCACGTGATCCAGAAACCCCCTCCAAAAGACACATTCAACCTACAGGGCATCTCCTTCATGGGATGGACTATGTGGCGATGACTACTTCAGTTCTGTTGATGTCTTGGATCTAGGTATGAAGGATGCAACAGACGCGACACTTGGGTAATTGAAAGCCGTACCAAATCATCGGTAGACCGGAGACCGAGTCTATCAAGTCAAGATTATCTAGAGATACAGTTTAAGACACAGTTCAGAAGGCTATGAGAAGATCGTGAACAGCTGGTCTCACGAGGAATCAAGGGGTAGTGCTCCATGTTCTATCTCACATATCAGCGCCGACATCTATCTACCCAACGCATCTACTAGTACTGGTATACCCCAAGCCTTATCAAACCTCTGTGGCTTGTAGACGCATAACCCCATTTCCTGATGCTTTGTTGTCCGACGATATGATGGTACCTGCTGTGCTTTCGGGGTTTTCCACGCACCCGTCAGCCTTCCGGGTCTTAAACCGACGAACCAAGGGGTCAATCAATGGCCAACGCCCCTGCTGTTCGCGATACCGCATCATCACGAACCACAAAATAACAGCAAGCCAATAGAGGTTATATGAGATGACCGAACCATAGGTGGCCGAGTTTTGCCATCCAAGGATGGCATTGAAGATTCCCCAGCCTCCGCCACCATTCACCAAAGGACTGCAGCAATTCACATGCCACACGCTTTGCCGGATGTCATATGATCCAGGACCAGCTCCTGTCTCTGAAGCATCGCCACCGATGAGGCTGCTCCAAGTGTTGTTCTCCAAGAACCAGACGCCTCGGGACAGGAGTCCAGCAGCGACCAGGTAGAGCAGACATGTCGAGATGACCATGAATATCTGAAGTGAGGTTTGATTCCCGCCCCTATGAGAAACCGCAAAGATTACTATCAGCATTGAGATTCATTGTGAATGCCGTCCACATCACACTCACCGATAAATAATATAACCAACCACCACGCCAGCCAAGAGTCCCGTGAATACAGGGAGAGGGAACGCGCTTGCGGGGAAGCTGAGACTAACACCCCCGATAAACACCACTGCCTCCAGACCCTCCCGAAGAACCGTAATCAAGGGTAAGATGAACATGAAGTACTTCTGTGACCACTGCTTGATCTTATCTGCCATTCTCCCTTGAGGTTGAGATTTTACTTCTAATGCCTGGGCCAGCTTGACACGCCATTTCTCCTTCAGTTTATTCACCCGCAGAAGGGCTGCTCCCATAACTGTGATGATGATGGAGGCGACTAAAGCAAAGATACCTTCCCATAGATCTTCCGTGCTGGCAAAATGATCCTTGCCATACCCGTAGAAGGCACCAATCATACCACCTCCAATGCAGAGGCATATAAACAGCCCGACGCCAACTCCCCACCAGACCTACTGATCGTCAATACTGTCTCTATAGGGTGGGAAAGGAATTGGAAGAGGGTAGTAACCTGTTTGATAAGCCTTTTGCGAGTGACGGCATCAGCGTCCGACCCCAGCGTCTGCTTGATGAAGGCAAGTAATACAGAAACAATGATGCTGGTCTCAACGCATTCTCGAAAGCAGATGAAAAATACTTCAATAAGTTAGTCAAACTAAGTGGTTACTAATCGATAGGGCATAACAAGAAATAATGCATACTAGGAACTGCAAATACATCGGTTGTCATGTTGAGTGGAAGGTAGAGGATTCAGAAAGAAATAAAAGAGGGATGACAATCTACAGGAGTTCAAAACACCGGCACAGCCATTGATAAATGAAAATATTAGAGAGAGGAGATCCAAACGTAAACCCACCACCGGTATAAATCGGGGGATGTTATCTGATTGATTGATTAAAAGTTAAAATGTTCTCGTGGGGGAAATGAGAAGAAAATAAAAAATAAATAAAAAAAGAATGTGAACCCATGACAGAGAGAACTGCGTGAAGGGACATGGCGCCAGCGACAGAAAGGTCGTTCCACCCCCACTGTATAGGGTAGAATCCTCGTATCATTGTCTAATGTAAGATGCAAATGCAAATTTTCATCTCGTTTAGATGTCCCTATTGGCCATGAGGGGGAGACGTGGCTTGAGGGAAGGATCAGATAAGTGGGATAAGCAAAAGTCTGGAACCCTTACGAGGTAACGAGGGTTTAAGCTTCCGCTAAGCCGTGTCTGATCATCGCTTGGCTTTCCATCGAGTGGTCCCATTTGAGGTGGAGGAGGAGGAGGGAAAGATGCTAAGACGATAATGGGCGTTGAGGTTCCATTTCATTTATTATCGGTGATCATCCCTGCATATGAGGGTTCAGACCATGCTCCCCCCGGTACCATCCCACCACCAGGTGCCCACACAGTTAGGATAAAAGACGAGAGAGATTTCAAACGAGGAAGAGGAGCCTACCATTTCGAAGAATATATCTGCAAGAATTTCTCTCATTCCTTATTCTTAACCGCTTGCGAGTGCTCCGTCTCAAGTGCTTGCGCTGTCACTCCCCTATCATGGAACTAGAACTAGGGCTTTTCTGGTTGGTGGGTTTCCTTGTCCACATTCTATCGGTCAGTGCCAAGACCCTCAGTTATGAATGGAACATCACTTGGGTATCCGCCAATCCAGATGGCTTGCAAGAACGTCCCGTGATTGGTATTAATGGCCAATGGCCACTTCCGGTGCTCAATTTCACCCTCGGCGATCGAGTGGTTGCAAAGGTGTACAACGCTTTGGGCAATGAATCAACCAGCATACATTGGCATGGCTTTTTCCAAAATGGAACCACCCAAATGGATGGCGCTCCGAGCGTAACGCAATGTGATATTGCCCCTGGGTCCACATTTGTTTACAACTTCACTGTAAGTCACTTCAATTGCGCGAGCTTCTGCGAGCCCTCGGTTTGACTGGCGGGGGCAGGTAAATCAAACGGGCACCTACTGGTACCATTCACATGCTCGAGGCCAGTACCCAGATGGCCTACGACAGGCTCTAGTGATTAGAGGCCCTGACGAGCCTTATTCTGGCCAGTATGATGAGGAGCGTGTTATCACTCTATCGGAGTGGTATCATGACCCGATGCCAACACTGCTGAAGCAGTTTATCAGCGTTACAAATCCCACTGGAGCAGAACCTGTCCCAAAGTCTGCCCTCTTGAATGATACTCAGAATTTAACTGTAGCTGTTGAGCCAGGGAAGACTTACCTATTTCGTTTAGTCAATGTGGCAGCCTTTGCAAGTCAGTATTTTTGGATTGAGGGCCATACCATGAAAATTGTGGAGGTCGATGGCGTATGGACCGAGCCAGCAGAAGCCGGTATGATCTACATTACAGCGGCGCAACGCTACAGTTTCTTGGTGACAATGAAAAATGACACAAACAAGAACTACGCCATGGTAGGAAGTATGGACACGGTAGGGTTCACTTCATTTATTCATTACTCAATTTCTTATCATTTGGCAGGACCTCTTCGATAAACTCCCTCCGACTCTGAACTACAACGTTACGGGATGGTTAATCTACGACACCAAGGCTGAAAGACCTGCTCCGACTGACATCTCATCATTCGATCCATACGATGACTTTAAACTTGTCCCTGTCGATGGTGAGAAGCTACTAAGTGACCCTAACTACACAGTAACTCTCGATCTTACCATGGATAACCTGGGGGACGGTGCTAACTAGTAAGTATACTATCAACTCCTTATAATTAGTCACTTTCATTTCTAACCAGATATAGTGCCTTCTTCAATGGTATAACATATGTTATGCCTAAAGTGCCAACGCTTTACACGGCTTTGTCCACCGGGTCAGCTGCCACAAATTCCACTGTATATGGTTACAATACCAACGCCTTCATCTTGGATAAAGGCGATATCATCGACCTTGTCCTGAACAACGATGACACGGGGAAACATCCATTCCATCTTCATGGTCATAATTTCCAAGTCGTCGCTCGCAGCGATGAAGACGCGGGCCACTACGATGCTAACAACCATCCTGCTTTCCCTTCAGTCCCGATGCGAAGGGATACTATTTACGTGAAGCCCACAGGATACTTTGTCATCCGATTTAGAGCTGATAATCCAGGTGACTCTCAATTTTCATTTAGATTCACTAACTGATAGCTAATAAGTGAAAGGTGTATGGATCTTCCACTGTCACATCGAATGGCACATGGATGCTGGCCTTGCGGTCGTCCTGGTTGAAGCGCCATTAGATCTGCAACAGACACTTACAATTCCAGAGGATCACTGGCAGGCATGCGATGCAAGCAATACCTTGAAAAGGGGCAATGCGGCAGGAAACACAGAAGATTTCTACGACCTGACTGGGGCGAATACTTCAATTTCCCCACTGCCCGCTGGGTTTATGGCCCGAGGCATTGTGGCCTTGGTGTTCAGCTGCATTGCCGCACTTCTAGGTTTAATTAGCATTGTTTGGTATGTGTATTTTCTATATTGTATTTTCTCCAAGCCTTATTCTCAACGTCCTTTCACATGTCATCTTTCAGGGAGTAGCTGTTGTGTACTGACGGGTATACTAGGTATGGCATGGCACCGATTACAGTGAAACAATCGCCAACCGATGAGAGGAGGGAAGTGGATAGTAATTAGAATAGGCTATATGTTAGGGAGAGAGTATGCAGGGTACGACCGTAGCGCTATATAGTATTTTGACCGACTGGCATTGAGACTATATGTCAGTTTTGGTTGAGGTTTGAAATCCCACTTTCTAATTACTGTGGTTCACATATTTACTACTACACTTGACGAGGCACAGACCGAGCTTATGCAACTTTCTTTTCAACACTTTTGATCTAACATGAATAATAGTATAACAACCATGTTTGGCTCTCCTCAGCTACTTTGCCTAAGCGGGAGAGTCTAGTTTAAACAGCAGCAATACACTCAATCTCCATATTTGTATTCAAGGGTAGCGCCTTTACAGCCGCATATCTAATAACATGTCAGCAACAAGCACTGTGTTGATAGCTCCTCCATTCACATAAGAGTTGTAGAGATAAAGTGAGCAAAAGGATACGCACGTCCGACAGGGCGTCACATCACCCCAGTACTGCATATAGATGGAATTCATCTCGGCAAAGTTATCCATGTCAGACAAGAACACGTTTACCTTGAGGACCTTCATGATATCGTTACCTGCGGCTTCAAGGATATGGGAAAGGTTCTTGATACATTGATGCTGGTACCTCTCAGTACTATACTCTGGTATCTTGTAGGTGAATATCTTGAGGTCGGAAGGTAGTAGTACATATAGTGTGAGCTTTGATGTCTCCGTCATCGACCTTGCCGGCTTCTGAGTCCATGGTTACCGTAGCGGAGCAGTAAATGGCATCATTGGAGACTATGACTTGGGGGTTTTGTTAGTCAAGATGGGAGTTTTGGTGGCCATGTTGATATACATGATCGTGGTCACGTGTAGCTTGAAGGTTGGGTAGTTTATATGTAGTTGAGGAAAACGGGAAATAATATATATATATATATATATACATATATGAGAGAGAGAGAGAGAGAGATATTCATTAGGTAGGTGAAGTAGTAGCAAGCTGCTCGTGCCTCAATACATACTGCTACCTTGACTAATAGATGTACTTACTAGTAGTACTTACTATACATACAAATTACACGCATGCGGGGAAAGCAATGATATACTACTAGTACTAGTACTACTCCATCTTCACTGCTCCTCCTCCTTACCCCCACGCCGACTTCGTGTACCAATGGCATGCCAGCCAACCCCACTTCACCTCGACCCTCTCCATCATCAGTGGCTAAAAATGCCGATACTCCTTCAGATTGCGCTCTTTATCGTGAGTACACATATCTTCAAGGGCTCAAAAACAATCCCCGTCAGGATAATGGCATGGAAACCCCCACGTCCCTTGCGTCGGAATGAAACCATCGATTCTGGAATGTAACGATCTGCATGAGGAGGTGCCGAGGCCAATACGTGAGAAGGTAAACAAAAGGGAGCCGAATTTCCACTGACCCAGAGATCCGTTCCATCTGAAGTTGCACCTCTCCCCCCCACCAGTGGCAACAATAACAACTACACAGTATGTCAATCTCGACACTTCAGCCTCCTTACCCTCTCCATCCTTCCGTCAAGGACCTCTTGGATCCCGAATATATTTCCTTCTATAACGAGTATGTCATCAACCAGCAGCAAGTCCATCTCCAACCCGTCGAAGCCTCCCGAACAAGCGGGGTTCTGATCCCTGGCGGGGGTCCGCTCCTCGAGGTCGGAAAGACAGAGAATATCACGATCAACCGACGCGCGACAGAAGGTCCAGAAATTCTGTTGCGCGCATTCACCCCAGCTGGGGAGACACCAAGCGGAGGGTGGCCAGTGATGCTGTATTTCCACGGAGGTGGATGGGTCCTGGGGAATATAAACACGGAGAATCCGGTTTGCACAAATCTGTGTGTGAGAGGAAACTGCGTCGTAGTTACAGTTGATTACAGGTATATCTATCTATCTATCTATCTATCTATCTATCTATCTATATATATATATATATCCACCAAACTCACCTAACACAGCTCATACTGTGTCCATATTGCTTATGCTAACAACGCAAGTAGGCTCGCCCCAGAAAATCCCTTTCCCGCAGCCGTCCATGACTGTTGGGAATCTCTTCTCTGGCTGATTTCTGACGGACCTTCGCGACTCTCTATTAACACATCTAAGATGGCAACTGGTGGCTCCTCAGCGGGCGGAAATCTAGCCTCAATCATCACCCACAAAGCCCTAACGCTTTCACCCCCCGTCTACTTCCTTGCCCAGCTTCTCTCTGTTCCAGTAACAGATAATACAGCAACGGTCCAGAACAACGAATCCTACAGGCTTTACGAGCACACACCGGCCCTTCCAGCTGCTAAGATGGTGTGGTACCGCGATCACTATCTGCCCAATCATAAGGATCGCACCAATCCCGAAGCAAGCCCCTTGTTCTACGAGGGCGACTGGTCGAAGCTGCCGAGGGCATTGGTCATGGTCGGCGAGTTGGATGTGCTTCGAGTGGAGGGAGAGCAGTATGCGGAGAAACTGAGCAAAGCTGGGGTCGAGGTGGATTTGCAGGTGATGAAGGGCATGCCACATCCATTCTTGGCGATGGATAAGGTGTTGAAAGAAGGGAAGAGGTCGATTACTTTGATGTGTGACCTCTTGAAAGAGGTGTTCTGGTCTTAGTTACATATCTTAGAGTAACTGTACACGATGGTCACTGTATCTGCAATCTATGGAACTGATATCCACAAGACACTTCCATACTTTCTCTTGTTCTAAAGGAAGGAAGTACATCACTTTGTGGTGTTTCGAGTTATCGTTATATCAGCATATCAAGGCCCCGTCAAGTTCGCTCACAAGAAAGAAGAAGAACAAAAAGAGTTAATGTGAGATGATAATGAGAAGAGTCCCGCCAGTTATTACTCCCAAATGTTCCTCAATCCTGAGCCATCAGGCGGGCGACTCTACCTATCACCCCCAACTCCCAAGTAAAAAAGCTAATTAGCAACATTCCCGAGATCATTTTCTCTCGAATACTTGGCCGTACGCATACCTTAAGAGGGCAGCCCCGAGGATCAATACTATAGACCCTAATCCGATGAGCAGGGTTTGTGACATCGAGCCCTAAGTTCCACGCATAATATTTAAAGGCTGTATATTAGTGGGATTGCCTAGGATTGGCAGACAATCTCAATCTAGCTCTCAATATTACAGGGGATCTCAGAATGTATCATGGCCATTCGTATTTCTTGGCAAGCTTCCTAGTTCCAATGATATACCACCCGACGCCCCCGCGACCTCAAGAGGTTATCTCTTCCCATGTTCGGATCTAGACGGTCCAAGTTGACCCCAAGGGGTTCCAGACTGTGTCTTCCATATTCTCTTCATAGTTGACGTAAGTTGAAGTTCGGCTTTATACTTCACGAGAAATAGGGGTAAACCGGAGAGTATTATGGTAGATATCTTCCCTTAATCGGGCTATTCTGCCTCACAAAAGGAAAGATAGAGAAGAGAGGAGGAGAAATAAACAAACAAATAAATAAAATAAGGGAAAAGGGCAAGAGAGAGGGGGAGAGAGGTTTAGAGAATCAAACTGACTCATAGTGTCTTCTGACTTGACGATCTGATGCTTCGGAACGTCAGTAAATCCAGGGAGTAACTTGTTTTATAGAAAACGATTCTGAATACAGCAATCAGACAGTAGATAAACGAAGGACGATAAAGCCTATGAGTACTAGGGAGATCTAGTAGAGAGGGAATGATATGACCTAGAAAAAGTACAGCCCTTAGGAGGACTCATAAAAACGGAAATGGTAAGTCATGAATATATTGTTTATGTGATGTATGTCCACAAAAATATACCTTTCGATCGTAGATTACAGACGGTTTAGACAAAATATTGTTTTGCATGACATGGCATTCCAAAAGTCACATCTTGCTAGATACAGTCTATTCCCTTTCACTGAACGAATCATATTATATCGAGCTGTGATCCACGGAGGCCTGAGGCCCCGTTAGATTACCATTACCTAAATTGGCAAGGTGCCATGGAAGCATTGTTGAATTAATAATAACGATGAGGCTCTTTCGACCGAAGACAATGAAATATGGGACCCATAACCGGATGAATATAATTTCTTACTAGTTCGGGGAGTGGTGAAGTTCGATAGCCTCTCCGATGTCGTCTACCTAACCCTTCAAATTCCTACTTTGTGGGCTCATTATTATGTTCTTCAAATACGAACGGTGGGCTCGTTCCCCCCTCCATCTCCTTTACTAGTGAGCCCACATATTCTTTCCCAATGGGCCAGTGTGCTAATGGAGTGGAAATTGCGGTCATTTGAGTCGGACTAAGGAAGTCAATGAACGCCTCTTTTTGCTCCTAGTCGATAGCGTGAGGCAAAGAAACCGGATAGCGGATGTAACCTTTTCCCACCTTCAAAATAATCCGTTATCAGTATTCGCAGCTACGCTTTGTTTATATTTACGTATACCGAAATTAGACTGTGGCTGTCTTCGTGATACTATGTCAACCATGTGTCAAGCCGTGTCAGGTACACTCGGCAGATAACCAGTGTAGATTCTGTCGATCTCGATGATCCGGTCGTGGGTTCCGGACAAGGGTCGGTAATCAATTGACTCTCAGGAAGTTAGCCTCGATGTTGAGTTTTTTTCTCTTCCCCACGGCACCAATAGGGGATTTATTCGAACTTATGAAAACTGGATTGGCATGCTTGATGTCCACCTGACATCAGCCCAGGGCAAGAATCTGGTCACGTTGATTGGTGTGCCTGAGGTGTGGGAAGAATCCCTAGTGGGGAACTAATCCCGATCAGGCGAGTGCCAACTGCACGCTAGACTAGTTTCAGTATGACCCATGGAACCTCAGGCTCTCTACCTACTACTAGTAGTTAGTCTATGTTAGTAGCTTCGCCTTAGGCCTTGTACAGAGTACTAGTGTCACTACTACACATGTCACACGCAGTATCCGTGATACACCGCCGTGGTCGAATTGGTACCGGGCCGAACGTCCCTGCCACTGCAGCTCAACGTCTGTCTTGCCACTACCAGTACTATACGGGCTATTATCATTACTCGAATGCATCCAACCATGTGGTCACAAAGTGCACGCGTCGCCAATCTCTTTCATTTCAGATCATGTTACTATTAGTAAAAGTGTTCCTCATCTCCGCAGCTCTAGATGCTTTCGAGGAAAGATATCATTTCCACTCCGTTGTATGCCTGGTTTGGCCCCTCGACTGCCTAATGTAGGCCCAATGACTGACCGGCCTTAGAAAATTTAGTCCCTGTTAATGCGGCTCTCCGGCGGAACTATGGCCGTCCGCTCGAATCACCGTGGGTTCTATCCCACGGCAATTTCCGGTGTGCATCTTACTCCTCTCTCTGGAGCCACTCAGGGCTTTCCATGGTTCGAAGAAGTTAGCGCTCTAATATCGAGCTTCTCGCTAGTACATGCTTTTACTGGAATGGGAAATGCTACCATCCACTTATCGAATCCGCTAAGGCCTGGGAGTCATGTACATTTCGTGATTTGCCGAGTCCGCATCCTTGGACGCTCCGTTCTGGTACTACCATGCGAATGGTGGCTAGACGTTGGGAGATTGGCTGCTTGCCGACTCCCCTGAACATCCGCGTATATAGTCTTCTCCCTCATCCATGAATCATCTACGGTCAGTTCTGTGGCTCTGCTCGCGGTAACCCTCCCAGCAGACGTTCGTCTGCGTCCCTTCCTTATTCTACTCCACGCTCGTTCCATAGCCTCCACTGGCTATTAGTCTGACCGGCAGTCATTCCTTTTAAAAATGGGTTTCAGCAAGAGTCTCGCCGTTGCTGCGGCAGCCTTAGCCGTCTCTCCTTTGGTGCATGCCTTCAACGCCCAGTCGAAGTCCAATGTTGCAGTCTACTATGTGTGTAAATCAAACCGGAGAAGTTCCCCGGCGTAGCCTTTACTGACCGTCTATAGGGCCAAGGATATAACCAGCCGCGCCTCAGTCATTTCTGTCAAGAGTCCGCACTAGATATTATCAACATTGGATTTGTTAATGGATTCCCTGACCAAAGCCCTGCCAATTGGCCTGGAAGTAACTTTGGCAATCAATGTGATGGACTGACCTATGAGATTGGTGGAGTCAAGACCGACTTGCTCTCGGGCTGCCATCAGATCATGGAAGATATCCCGATTTGCCAGGCAGCCGGTAAAAAGGTTCTATTGTCTATAGGAGGTTCTACCCCTGACAATCAGGAACTCCTCTCGACAGAGAGTGCTATTGGATTCGCCGAATTTCTCTGGGCATCCTTCGGCCCCGTGGATGATACTTGGGTGGCATGGGGCGGTCCCCGTCCGTTTGGCAACGTATCTGTCGACGGATTTGACTTCGATATAGAGCATAACGGTGGATTTGGTGTGTTTAAATGCTGGCGGCTATGAGGCCCTTTCGAATAAGTTTCAAGGACTAACAGATCTTAGGGTATGGAGCTATGGTCACCCGCTTTCGTGAGCTTTTTGCCGGAAAGCCTGATCAAAAATTCTACCTGTCGGGGTCCCCTCAATGCCATATACCCGATAAGCAACTGAGCCTCGCAATCGCAACCTCCGCATTTGACTTTGTCTGGGTGCAATTTTACAATAATGACGATTGCTCCGCGCGTAACTTCGTTACTGGTGAGGGTTTCAACTTTGATGCTTGGGTCGACATCATAAAGTCTGGCGGTAACCCAGCTGCAAAGCTCTTCGTCGGCCTGCCTGGCAGTGAATCTGCGGCGCTTGACGGGTACTACTTGACCCCTGATGAGGTCAAGCCTTTAGTGAAAAAATACATGAAGCTGTATCCCGATGTATTCGGAGGTATCATGGTTTGGGAGGCGACCCAGTCGGATCGAAACCAGATCAACGAAACCAGCTACGCAGGAAACATGAAGAGGATCCTGACTGAACTGGATCCTACGCCTCCCACTCCGACGACCTCCCTTTCCAGCTCCACCATCGCATCAAGCACTCCCGTTCGGTTGAGTACTCCAGTTATTTCTAGTACATCAACGCCGTCAAGCACCCCTGTTCAGTCCAGCTCGCTGGTCGCTTCTTCAACCCCGCTGACATCTAGCACACCTGGCCATTCAAGCTCTCCTATCGCATCAACCACTCCCATCCAGTCCAGCAATCCTGTCCAATCGAGTACCCTTATTGTATCCAGCAGCCCCGCTCGGTCCAGCACGCCTGTCCTGTCTAGTACTCCGTTTCGGTCCAGTACTCCAGTTCATTCCAGCATTTCAGCTCACTCAAGCACCCGTATTGTGTCCAGTAGCCCTGTCCGGTCTAGCACTCCCGTCCACTCTAGTGCAGCAACTCACTCAAGTATTCCTATCATATCAAGAAGTACTGTTCAGTCTAGTGCTCTGGCTCACTCGAGTACCACTGCTGCATCAAGCACACCTGCTTCGTCTAGCCCGCTAGTTCATTCAAGCACCCCTATTCAGTCAAGACTCCCTCAGTCATCAAGCACAACTGCTCAATCAAATACCCCAGCCAGATCTGCAACCATGTCAACGCCTAGTGTTCCTGGTCGGTCGTCTACCCCGGCCACATCTAGGACACAATCAGCATCTGTCATCACCGGTCACTCGAGCTCGCAGATCAGCTCTAAGTCTTCGCTAACATCCGAGATTCTGACAAGATCGAGCTCAGCAGTTGCCTCACGGTCACCATCTGCCTCGGCAATCCTGTCAGAGACGATTTCGCCAATACCTTCCGGAACACCAATTCATTCTGGGAACACCTTTTCTTCTGCGGAGCTTACCTCGCCGGCCACCTCAACTCCTTCAACCCCACCGGCCACTTCTGGGGAGCCAAGTCTATCAATCTCAGCAACAGTATCCGAAAACCACTCTTCTATCAAGCCGGGTGTGCTGACAACGTCCAATCCAACTGGTATTCCGGCATCTTCCACTGTACCTGCACCATCTACTGCTTCTGCTTCAGACTCCTCAAGCACCTCCACTGTCAACCCAAGCCAAACGGGCCAATCCAGCCCTACCAAGTCGCACAATCCTCATAGTGCTACTGCCTCCTCGTCGGCCCAAGCAGCTAACCCAACCACATTAACGGGCTCAGAACCGGACAATGGAAACGGAACAGTTACTACCACGATTACTTCCGGAATAGTGACCCCTTCTGTCACACCTACCGGTACTATCTCGGAGCCTTTCACTGTCACGACTGTTATCGTCACCTCGTACATCGATATCTGTCCCACGGGGTTCACAACGATCACCACGACTTATACCACGACCTACTGCCCTGGAACAGTATCCGCAACCGCTACAGCCACGAACGCCCCCTCTGAACCGGGGTCACAGATCGCTATCCCTACTCCCCCTGAGGGCTGGACCTCAACTGTGACTGTCTGTACGCACTGTGCACCAACACCAACCACGGTGACTCTTACTCTACCCGTGACTACCACAACTACTGAACCTATCACTGTGCCAGCACAGCAGACCACCGATGTTCGACCTGCTGAGGGCCGGACCACAACAGTCACTGTCTGTACGAAATGCGCATCACCGCTAACTACTTTGACACTTACTGTACCTGCCACGGGAGCTGGAGCTGGATCTAATCCTGTCAACCCTACCAGCAGCATCCCTGTCGGGCAGACTAGCAGCCCGTCCAGACATGAGAGCTCCATTAACCCCATGGTTACAAAAACTGTCATCAGCCACAGCCAAAGCCTTTCAAGGACTTCTTCTGCGATTGTTGGAATAGACAGTGTACATCCACCGTCCTCAACACTTGCTGTTAGACCCTCGACTAGTGGATCTCGAGTCCCTGTGACTCCTAGCGAGACGCAGGGTAATGTGTCACCCATCTTCACAGGTGTTGCATCACAGCATGCTAGACTAGGCCACGGAGCTGCTGCTCTCATCGCTCTTGTTGTGGCTGTTATCCTTATGATATGAAGCCTTCCGGTTTTATGATCATGGTCACGCTGAACCAGATGAATGACGATGTAACATCGCGGGGCCATGGAAACCATGGCCAACGCGTTCTCCTAGCTTGATGTTCACTTCTAATAACTCCCCGTTACTGAATACATTTCTTGTTACATTTCGACTTTCACCATGTACTTTGTCCAAATGATGTCGTTCATTGAACCGTCCAAATAACCAAGTAATATTTCTATTAGATGGACCGAACTTTATTCTTAGCAGTTGAATGTCTCCGTTACCAGGAATTGGTACGGAACCAACAAGCTTCCGGCCAAGCCGGGACGATCCGACAGAACTAAAACTGTATTATACACAAAGGCGGTAGGCGCGGTGGAGTCACTATTGTTTACTAGTATGGGGGCCAAGGGGATAATAGGTTGATCCTTATTGAACAGATGATACAATGCCGTAAGTACACTGATAGTATGGAAACATGGGTGTACGTATGTTTGAGACTTCCAATTCCAGCACGAGACAGTGTTAGTACTTTACCACACGTATCTGCACAAAACCCCGATTCAGTGTCATACAGTACAAGCTGACTGCTACTAGTACTAGTTAGTAGTAGTATCATACTATACAATGTACGGAGTACTAATGGTTCCTGTGTACTCTGTACAGTACTAACACTAATCGCCCGACCACAATACCACCATGGGAACTATGGGTCTATCTAGCTTAACTTCAGCTATCGCACCCGTAATCTCCATGCCATACGATGCTGATCTGTCAGGGTCCAAGCTGAGGCTGGATTTGGGGCCCAAAGCCCGGATGGTAGTGCTTAATCCCCTTTCTGCCCTTAATTACCCCGCCTAGGTTTCAGCTATTTCTAGAGCATATATCTAGCACCTCCTTTCCTTCTCCTTTCTTTGGAATATTCCACTTTTCCTCTTCTTCTCCATTACACCACCAAAAAGGTCTTGCTCCTACCAAACAACCCCCCCCTTCCCCAAAATGGATTTCGTCACCAAGCTTGCCGAAAAGTTCCTCGACAAAGACAAGTCCAGCGGCAGCCAAGAAGGCTACGGCAACCAGGGCGGATATGGTGGACAGCAACCTGGAGGCTATGGCGGCGGCTATCCTCAACCGCAACAACATTCTGGCCCTCAAGTGCCTCCCCCATGGGTCGCCCGGTGGGATGGGGAGTCACAGCGATGGTACTACGTGAACGAGCAGACCGGCGAGAGGACCTGGAACCACCCGGGTCAGGGCGATGGCTACGGACAGCCGCAGCCTTCGTATGGTGGCGGTGCGTCTTACGGTGGAGAGCAGTCGTATGGCCAGCAACCCTCATATGGCTATGACGAGTCGCGCCAGGGAGATTATTACCAGCAGCAGCAGGAGCCTAAGAAGGATCACTCTGGGGCAAAAATTGCGGGTGCTGCGGCTTTGGGTGTTGCTGGTGGAGTGCTGGGAGCGTATGCTGTGCATGAAGCGCGTATGTCTTTTTTCTCCCCTTACCGCCATTCTTCTTTCTCCACACCTGATGTTTGTTTGATTTGCAACAGGGACTGACGCCTACCAGATGAAAGCTGGGAAGAGAACAAGGATGAGTGGAAACAGGGTGTTCAGGATTTCCCTGAAGATGCTGCGGAATGGACCGGCGAAAAGGTATGCCTTTGCTTTTTCTTTGTTTTTGTCCTCATGTATTCACATTCAATCGGGCATGTTTGAGTATACTAATACATGCATCAGGTCGGTGAAGCCGAAGCAGGTTGGGATCGCGCCGAGGATCGAGTCGAACAAGGCTGGGATAACGCTGTTGACAAGGTTGAGGACTTCCCCGAAAATGCTGCAGAGTGGACTGGCGAAAAGGTCGGAGCTGTGGAACGATTCGGTGACGATATGCACGATGCATACGAGCGGGGAGAAGATGAGGGCCGCGGTGACGACAATTGGTAGTTCTGGAAACTCCAGTGTTTTCCTCGGTCGGTTCTTGCAGGGTTGGATTTGGAAGAAATCTTCTTTATTTCGGAGTGGATGGGTAATCTTACAACTTGAAGACTGGTTCTACTTAGATCATCGGACTATTTCTCTTCGCAGGGACATGACAACCCCCCTAAGTTGCTTTATGTCCACTGCTCTATGCAAACATTAACAAACATGGACTCATACCAAGGCAGTAAGTACACGTATCTCTAGGTATGCACCGTAAGATCAAGAGAAAGTAAACCGTCGAGAAACTTCCTCTTGACCATACGCTTCCCCGCACGTGTCCGCCGGACCTCGGTTGCGGAGTGTGCCTCGAGCATCTTCATAATTCAAATATGTGGTACTCGGCATATCGCAGTCCATCTTTTGTTTTCCTTTTCTATTAGAAGGACGTGCCGTTTGTGAACTTCAGATCCAAGGGTTGGCTGCGTCACTGTCCGATCAATTCATACAGAATGTCCGCTACACTCCCCCTCGCAGGAATTCGCGTGGTCGAGCTTGCAGGCCTAGCTCCGGGTTGGTCTTGACCGCAATTTATATCTGCCGGTAACATGCCGGTATAACTAATGCGATTACGTGTTTTACTGACCGGGACTTACAGGTCCCTTTGCTGGACTATTGCTTGCAGATTACGGGGCGTCCGTGCTGCGTATCGATCGGCCAAATGCCGTGAGCAGCGATCAGTTAACGCGTCGTAAATCATCGATCACCCTGGACCTACGAAACGCAGCATCACACAGCGTCCTCCTTTCGGTGTTGGCCCAAGCCGATGTCCTTATTGATCCTTACCGCCCTGGCGTCTTAGAACGCCTGGGTCTGTCCCCATCGGAGGTCCTCCTGAAGCATAACCCTCGCTTGATTGTGGCACGCATGACGGGATTCCGACGAGACGGTAAATACAAGGACATGGCGGGCCACGATATCAATTACATCGCGGTGTCGGGTGTTCTCTCCATGCTGGGGCGAGCAGGTGAACCCCCTTATGCCCCGGGTAATATCATTGGCGACTTCGCGGGCGGAGGCGCAATGTGTTTCATGGGGATACTGCTTGCTCTGATGTCGCGCACACGCACAGGACGCGGCCAAGTCGTAGAGGCTAACATGGTTGATGGCTCCGCATACCTAGCGGCGATGCCGCGACTGAACCGACAAACACCGCTGTGGAGCGGGCCCCGAGGAGAGAACATGTTAGACGGCGGGAGTCCGTTTTATGACACGTACGAGACTAAGGATAAGGGCAAGTATTTCGCCGTTGGAGCGCTGGAACCCCAATTTTATGCTGCGCTTCTCAAGGGACTCGGTTTCGGTTCGAAGGAACTTCCCTCACGGGACAATAGGGAGAATTGGCCGGTTCTCCGAGCGGCGTTTGAGAAGCGATTTAAAGAGAAGACGCGAGCGGAGTGGGAATCTATCTTTGACGGCACTGATGCTTGCGCAACACCTGTACTGGAGCAGGATGAGCTCGAGCAAGGGGGCTTCGAACAACGGCCTGCCGTTCATCTCGTTGATACGCCAGCGCTGCCCATTGCGACCAACAATGGGGGCTGGACGGGGGGTGGCCTGACACCCGGAGAAGGTGGACAGGAGACGTTGGAGGCCTGGTTAGGATGGAAAGAAGGACGCGAATATGATGTCAGATCCGATGGGGCATTGATGAAGACTGGAGAGGAGGGGAAGGCGAAGCTGTGAGGATGAGACGATGATAATACGAGACAAACCAGATAGTTACAGAGTACGGATTATGGGTTGATTGTATGTCCGCGGTTCGTATGAACTCACGCGCTCGTAGGGCTGAGGCCCCGTGCACTCGATTCGGTAACTGGCCACCCAATAGTCCGACTCGAAATTACTGCTTTTGATCAGTGATGCTGTCATTGACTTTTTCAAGACAATCGGAAGGGCAGTGCATTAAAGTTGTACCTATTAGTAGTAGTAGTTTGATGTCGAAAAGGCTAAAAAAAAGTAGAAAGAGAGAAAAGGGTAAAAGGTGAAAAAATGTAAAATAAAATAAACGTTTGTCGCATGTCCCGACTGAAAAGCTGCACAACTTTATGTGCCAACACTTTCATCACGTATAAAACTTGACTTAACTGATCAATCTATGTCCATTCTACACCAAGAAAGGCCAAGGAAAAAAAAAAGGAATTAAAAAAAGCACAGAGGTGAGACAGTCCGATTCATGGCGAGCTGAACAACCCATGTCAGTCAGCCGCTGGTTGGAGGAAAATGTTACCGTGCCAATGTACTAGTATGTAACAACACATGTTAAGTTCTGGGGGATTGATTCGATACCCTTGTCATGGTCACGTCATTATTGGTTATTTCCGTCCGGAATCGTGCATCCGTCCGAAGATATCATACGCGATAGGTTTCCACTTAGATCAAAGTAACCATCATACTACTACTACCGTATCTTTTCCTAGATAACAGTCAACTTGGAACTTGGAAGCACTGAGGGGGGGGTAAAAATTCAAAAAAAAAAAAAAACAAACAGGGAAAAAAAAAAAAAAAAAAAAGTTACCTTTAAACTAAAACGGTGGCCCCAGCTACAGGTACGATGGTACATACCATGTACGGTATACAGTAGTGGTACAGGTACCTGGACCATTCTGAGTCCCCATTCCCCCCTTCCATTTTATGAAGCATTCCTGCCTAGTAACTACTCATCGGTTCGAATTTCAGACATCTAACAATCTCTATTGCTTCATTTCCCGAGCTTTCCGCATGTTTCACATGTGGAGTATTCTACGTCATTCTTCTGTATGTGCTTTGGTTCTGGGGGGAGAAATTTTTCGACTGTTCCTAGCGGGTGACTAAGGGTACTAGTTGGTACGCTGTACCTGTACTATTGTTCCCCTTGATTCCTGCCTGGGAGTACCATGTACCCGTTCGGTACCTAGCGTAATTTCGCCTGGTATGGCCCAATACCAGTACCGTCCCGCCACGTGCGGGTAGTGTGGCGCAGTTCGGCCCTATCTCCTGATGATCTCTGTTGGACCCGCGATACGGTCATTGCGATGGAGCTTTGAAGTTTGAAGGGCCAAGGTCGGTTCTTTGAGCGAGAAACAGCCACCGATGACTGGTCCTATGTCTCAGCTTCCTTCCCTTTGGTCATCACGGATGGTTACCAAGGTGTGGATAAGTCGTGGCTGTGCGAGAAAGTTTTACCCCAGGACACTATTCATTGTCCGTAATTTACCTCCGTATTGCACACCTTTCGTATTCGGTACCGCTGCCCACCGGGGCCCGTCACACTTGGTTTTTCCACCTTAAAGTTCTCTCCTCTTCTTTTTCTTCCTCCCCGTCGCAAAGAGCCGAAGCGACCGATCACTCTTCTACGTTCTGAATGCGCTGTAATTTATTTCCTGTCTTTCTCCTCTTTCTCCGGCCTTGATAAACGGACCTCTCCCCCCAGCGGGCAACGTGGGATCGGTGCTCCTTAGTGTACGATTGTTGTCATTCAGCTTTGTCTCGAAATTGACCCCTCCGCCATACAATCAATGTCCCCTGCAAGTGTGACTTGGTAAAATTGGGTACCCGCCAAGTGCCAGGCAATCGTTTCTCACAGCATCACTGTTACTACAGAAAAGTAGATCTGACAGCCTTTTTTGCTTTCCAACGAGCTCTTCTTCTTCTTTCTTCCCAATCACTGGCATCATTTGCTTGCACCGCTTCCTCCTGCGCCGGTCCCTGTTGCAAGTATCGTACAACAACGGAAGCGCTGGCCGTTCATTGATCCGTTAAACCCAGGGCGGCTTGGCTTGCCTTACTTATCCCCTCAATTAACATTGCACCGCAAGTACGACGCTTCCTTATCCCCCCAGAGTTTTACTCCACCCCCCGGGTAGAGTTGCCCGGTCTCTGTCGCCATTTGTTAGACGGCGTAAATAGCCTCTCCCTTTCTTCCGAGGCCCCTCGGCCTCTTTAAGATACATGGCAGGCGTGCAACTGCAACAACCCACCATGACCGACTATCGATTGCCGCTCCATCAGCCACCACCTGCTCGGAAGCCGGTTCCTGGGATGCATGCTGGTTATCCATTCCAGTCCTATGATGGGCCTCATAAGCAACAGCTCTCTCCTCACCCATCCCTCGCTCACAATCGGGGCCGGATGCCTTCGGCCAATGCGTCGCCCTATATGGCTCAGCAGCAACCGTACTCCAATACCCCTTCGCCCCATCATACCATGACCTCTACCCCTAGTTACCCTCCCTCGAGAAGATTGTCGAGCGCCACAGCCTCTACGAGCTCGACTGGCAACGCCGCGGGTCACTCCGCCGTTTCGGATATTCGCAGAAGCACGTCATCCCGTTCTGCAAACTCCCAGCTGGGTTATGTAGCTCTAATGCGGAGGCAGAAGGCCACGGTGTGGTGTGATCGAGCACAGCCGGAGGATCCGCGCCTCCGAGCCCAGAAGCTTGCCGACAAGAAAAGAGCGTACCTTGAAGTCCATGGCGCAGGCGCTGGTGGACGGGCGAGTACCCTTGGGAGCGGTAAAATTAAGCACTCTAAAGGAGGCACTGATTTCTCGCCCTCGAACCTCGTGTCGGCCACTGTTCCCGTACGACTCAGTGCCAATGAAGTGGGGGATGCGGATGAGGATGAACATAGTGATTATGGATTTCCTCATCGTCGCACTGGAAGCGGTCGCAGCTCTTTGGGAAGCAACCATCGTTATCCCAGTGGCTATCAGCGGACGCCCCAGGGCACCATGGGAAGTAACAGCACTACCCCGAGTGAGAAGACAGATTTGCCAAATGTCACGGAGCATCCGCCGGCGGAGAGCACTGAGGAAAAGAAAGTCAAAGATGACGCCGCCACCACCTATAGCTTCGAGGCCGCAGATGAGGACAATTTTGGGAGCGTAGGGGAGATGGCTGCTCCCAGTGCAGCGACCACGGCGGCCGAAAAGGCGAGGAGGGCGGACGAACTAAGGCGGCGGGGTAGTGTGGACGACCGAACGAGCACGATGACCAATGTCCGACTTTTTGTTGCAAATCCAGACCTCAGTGACTAGTGGCACCTTGTATCGTCATATATCGCATTTATCTCTCGGATCTATACCCATGAAAATACCCAGCTCGGCTGAAGTCCGGCAAGCAGTCCAACTTGATGCAGTTTATGCCATCCTCCGTGTTTCTTTCTTCACTCTGCTTCCATATTTCCTTTTTTGTTTCTTCCCACCAGGATTGCTCTCGTCGAGTAGTGCTCGAGCCCGGTCTGGATCCCGGGACCCGTACCTCGGTTTTTGTGCTGTGTGCAGGCAGCCTGATGCATTGCGCTTCTTGTTCTATTTTATTCCCCTCACTGCATGTTTTGGCTCCTATGCTCCTAAAGCATTGGGTTGCGTGTTACTGGTCTTGCATCAGTGACACCTTTGGCGTCTTTTATGGATTTACGAGCAGCTAGTAATAATAATATCGTCTGTACATACTCTGCAACCTGTGCTATCAGCGGTGTATATCGATTCAGTTTGCGTGTAGAGTTGCAAAATCCATTATACCCTTAACAGGCCAAGTCGAGCTACATCATTAAACAAACTGAAACATAGTAGCTGAATGCGAACGTTAAAACAATGAACAAGTTTGACAGCAAAGTAAATGATAACATCATCCCCCATCTTACATAATCCCCCACACGTGCCCCCCTGACGCGAAGCAGTCGCGCCCGACAATCCAATTAACGCGTTCCTTGACTTAACAACCAATCTCTCCGATGACATGCCAGACCGAGGGTCCTATATTCTGTCCCGGAATTGCTTTTCCATTAGACTACCGCTATTGATATATTATTATTCTAAGAGGGTGAGACTGTACGTTGTATGAGTCTGAGGAAATTCTGGTATTTTCCTTGTTCCTGGTGAACCAAACCGACCTGACCCAACCCAGCCCAACCAGGTTTGTTCGATGTGTGAGGATACCCTCCACCCTTGATTTCCAGATCCCGGTTCACTTCAACTTGATCTTTAAACCTGTCTTGAGTAGTATTCTCCGGGCCCATTTCTGAAAAGAGAAAGAGAGAGGGAAGGAAAGCAACGGCAGAAAATGGAGGTCTCGGTCGACACAAGCCCAGCCGCCCTTTCTCCCCTCCCGCAGTCACAATCACAATCGCAACAATCATCAACAACGACGTCTACAGCAAGCTATCCCGCATCACCAATCGCCTCCAGGAAACGTTCCGTCCAAGATATAGATGCACAGACGGCGCAGACGTCATCGACCGCGGCGGCTGGCCACACCGACACGAAAAAATCCCCAACGTATACCGACAAAGAGAACCAGGAGAATGCCGATCCTTTGAGACAAAGTTCTACATGTGTAACTCCTCCCTCGGAAATGAGCCACGTACTGATTACAAGTGGGGGCGCGAAGCCCGGTGATGAGGCACCGGTACAGAATACGAAGGAGGCTCCACTGGCAAGATCGATTTCCAGTCCGGGATCAACCCATTTGTCTACGGATACAGGCGCTGGTGCCCCTGTCACTAAGAAGAGGAAACTGTCTCCTGCGAGTAAGGAGGCTAAGCAACAGGAGAAGGAAGCTAAGCAGCAGGAAAAAGACGCCAAGGAACGTCAAAGATTAGAAGAAAAGGCAAAGAAAGAAGAGGAGAAGAGAGTAAAGGAAGAAGAGAAGAAAAAGCGGGACGCAGAGCGAGAGGAAGAACGTAAGCGGAAGGAGGAGAAAAAGAAGGCGAAGGAAGAGGAGAAGGCCGCGAAAGACGAAGAAAAAAGGAAAAAGGAGGCAGCCAAAGAAGAGGAGAAGCGAAAAAAGGAAGAGGAGAAATTGAAAAAGGAGAGAGTAAGCTTCCTACACCGACAACTCACGCCTTATGTATGACTGGTCTAACAGTTCACTTGCAGGCTCAACCCAAGCTGAACGCCTTCTTCGCGAAGCCAAAACCTCCTGTGCAACCCTCGGTCTCAGCGCTTACTGCGTCGCCCAAGAAGTCTGGAAGCGATGACAGCACAAATGAACCCTCTTATGAAGCGGCAACTGTGTCAGATTATCAACGAGCATTCCCTGAATTCTTCCTACAGTCCCACACGAAAGTCGCTCCACCGCATATGTTTCAACGTGATTCAGAGGCCCTTCGATTAATAAGAGAGAAGCTTGATGCGTCCATGAAGTCGCCCAATAGCCCGGGAGAAGCTCTTGTATTTCGGCCATGGGAAATTTTCAACTTGATGCCATACAGGCGACGGCGGGGAAGACTACCTGCTTCTGTCAGGGAAATTCTTCTAGAGATGCAAAGCCTGAACGATCAAGCGGGGACGTCGGAGGCTGTACAGCGACAACAGAGTCTCTTAAAGAAGGTTCGAATGAAATCTCTTAAGTTTGGTGAAGATGTCCGACCACCCTATCAGGGAACTTACTCTAAGCACCTTCCCGAATCCTCGGCCTATAAGATGATGCGGAACCCTTGCTACCGGGGCTTACCTGAGACGAACTACGACTACGACTCCGAGGCTGAATGGGAGGAGCCGGAAGAAGGCGAGGAACTCGACTCGGAGGAGGAGGAAGAGATGAGCGAAGATGGCGAGGATGACATGGATGGCTTCTTGGACGACGAGGACGATCAGTTGGTCGATGGGAAGAGACGTCTTATCGTTGGCGATTTAGAACCCGTCTGCAGTGGCATTCAATGGCACGATCAGGGCGTGGATCCAGAGTTTCGGGCATACAGGGTCGAGACCATATCAGATGCAGTGTCGTTGCCTATTGACCCATTCTCAACGGCGTACTGGCAAAAACCCAAGATATCGGAGCCGGTTCAGACCAGCGGTGCGGGACGGTCGTCGCTTCACTCTTTCCTGGGTAACCCATCTTCAGGGAGTGCGTCAACGCAGGACGGTGGCGCACTGCCACTGTTGGGGCCCGGGAAATCCAGGCGACCCTTCCCACCGGAACTGCTGGCGGAATTCAAGCAAGTTGTGGACGGAAGCGATCTGTCAAAGCTAGGGTTGATTGAAATTCTGAAGAAAAGGTTAGTAAAGCGAGGCCCCTTTAGTTCCGTTTGCCGCTAATGACGACCTCAGGTTTCCGAAGGTTTCTAAGGATGCCTTGAAAGACACTTTGAACAGCGTGGCTACTCGGGTGGGACAGAAAGAGGCTGAGAAGAAATGGGTTTGCAAAGAGTGATGGTATTGGAGGAGACATGACAGCAAGCGTTCGATGTTCCGAAGAAAGACAACGCATGCCACGGATGGCTGGAGTTCTGGCGTTAAGTTCACCTTGGGTCGTGCCGGGAATAGACTACCCTTGAGGGAAATTCATTGGTTGCAAGTGCTTCAGATCCTCAAGTACCAGTGGAATTGCATGAACATCTGCAGCCACTGGTTTGTTTGCGATTGATGTGTAATGACGGCGACTGCTTTAGAGGGCCAGTGCAATGGGAACTGGACGTTGATTTTGTACATGGATATACTATACGGAGCTGGGCTATTGACTACATGGGATGTTATTTTATTTATCTATTCATTCATTTATTCATTTTTTTTAGAAAAGAAAATTCAATGATACCTCCTGTACATCTACAAGGGATAAACCCTAACTTGGTCAGACTTTTGAGAAGAAGGTTGGGAAAGACTGTTAAGGGAAAAGAAGGTAAAAAAAAGAAAAGAACAAGAAAAAGAAACAAGGGGGGGAGAAAATAGAAGATGCTAAAAACAGATTGCATCGAATATGTAGTTCCTTTATCTCAGCCATAGCTGCAGAGTTGATGGCACAGTCGGTGATCATGTTGTTCTAGACAGGAGCATGCGTGAGTGAGTATGAGTTCAAGTTGTTACAACATGTCCAACTATTGGAGGACAACCATGCCTGGGTTCCCTCAAGGCAGCATTGGATTCAGCTGAGGACGTCTTCTGGACTAGACTGTTTTAGGGCTAGTCCGGGCGAGTGGTGGTTGAACACGTGCCAGTGGGGTTCTAGAGTCATTAGGAGGGATTATTAATACGAAAGCCGCGATGTTTGGTCCTGGTTTATTTGTTGTTGCTGGGGCATTGATTGCTGTTGATGCCTTTACTTTTTCTTTTTCTTTTTTCCCTTTTTTTTTTTGGAGGAGGGGTCAGTCTTTGCTGTCACTGCGGAGTAGCTTTGGCAGTACTAAAATGGATATCTTCCTAGTTGCAAACAGTCGGAGGAATTCCCACAATTCATACTATCTAATGATCCTTCTGGGAATATGGCACCGTTGTTAGTAGACCACTAGTATGTACCTCACCTCTCTTTTATGACGGAGGGGCGAGAGGGAAAGAGAAGTTAAGATGCAGTTTCATGCATCCCAACCCCCAGAAACAAGAAATGGACCAGAAAAAACCCTCCTAAACTTCAAGGCCAGCAGTAAGGGGTGGTTGGGCAACGAATCATGGGGCACGGAGGGAACCAACCGGAGCCATCATGCATGTATGCAGTGCCAGCGCATCACTGACTGTTTGACTAGGTCTTTTCTGCTTAGGTACTTAGTTTGTACGGAGTACTCGTCCCCAATTAGTGGTACATTTCTGGACTGTACAAATCGTCTATCATTCGACCCAGGCGCTTTCGTGCCAATCGTGTTGCGATCGGTCTTTTAGCATTCTGTTCATTTTATTTTGCTCTTTTTTTTTTTTTTTTTTTTTTTTTTTTTTTTTTTTTTTTTTTTTTTTTTTTTTTTTTTTTTTTTTTTTTTTTTTTTTTTTTTTTTTTTTATTATTATTATTTTCTTCCTCACCTTCCGTTTCTCTCCCGCCATCTGCCATTCTTAGCACCGTGGAATGGTTGAGAAGAAATTCCCTACGCGGGACGGAGGAAGTGGGGGGGGGGCGCTGTTCTTAGTATAGGTATTGATGATTCTACAGCAGAACGGGAAACACATGGTGGTATTCCAACAGTAACGGCTTCTTTTTTCTTTCTTTCTTTCTTTCTTTCTTTTTTTTTTTTTCTTCTTACCTTTTCATATAGATCATATCGAGAATTAGATTTCCTGGTATGGTTCTGATGTTCAAGGTTCTCCTTTGTTTTATGTAGAGGGAGTATTGAAGATTGAAAGAGAACCATATTGCACATATGTACAGTACATACGGAGTACCACCCACATACACACATATACACGAAAAGGAAAACTATCTTTCCTAAATAAAGTAATTTCCATAGTTCTACCTCCAAGTCTGTATGTAGTGAGAGTCACACCAACATTGCCTCACTTAATGCAGTGTACGCCTGCAGTTGTCTCTCCACTGCATCCGTCCGATTCGAGTCACCGCCAGCCTGGCACTTGGCTCACGGCGAACAAATAGGAAAGCGTCATGCTTGTTCGCTTGCTTATTCTCCGTCCCCAACTTGACTCTACTATTGTTATTTCCCCTACGTTAGTGGCATACTCATGCATACATATTGCCAACAGACAGCATCCAACCTAAACCAAAGAAAGTCTCCTTTCATTGCCCATTTCCCCCTCCCCTCCACGTTCGTCCAACCATTGCAGACCAAGTGACTCCAACATACATTCAGACCAACCATACAGAATTCCCGGATTCTTTCGATTTGCTGGCAAGCAATCGCCCACTAAGGTAGACCTTCTCTCTTACTTACGTCGCTCTTTCTTTCACACATTCTTCCCTCTCTCCCTTTTTTGGTCTCTGCGTACCATCCATCTCCTCCGCCGATTCAGCCAGTTGTCTCTTATCGTTAGACGAGACCGTCAGGTCGGAGTCTATCCTCCTGTTAATTAAGCTCCCAATATTATTGATTTATTATTCATATTCATATATCTATTTCTATTTTTTATATTATATTATATTTTTTATTTTATTTTTATGTTTTTCATTTTCTCATATTTTCTTATTCTATGATCGTTTCTTTATTTGATTGATTGATTTTTTTCCCTTGATTCTTCTATACTTGTCTGCGTTTCCTCCTCCCCCCCTCTCTTCTCTCTCTCTCCCCTCCCTCTCCCACGATCCCTCATCCACGACCACTTTATAACATCCCGCTGTCTGTTGTCCTTTCCTACTTTAACTTCTGTCACCCTCTTCTTCCACTCCGCCTTCCAACCCGTCCTTATCGTTCATCTATCAACCCTGGAGCCGTCGATCGTCTCGCATTACCCTCAACAGGATACTGTTCCCCATGAGGACCGTGATTCTTTCTCCTCTTCCCCTTTAAGGGCTGAACAATGCGATAGAGAGACGGTTCCTGGAGTCAGGGCCAACTTGCGACCTCACACGTCCCCTTGGCTATCTGGCCGGGAGACTGCCCATGGCAACATCATGTTCGATGCCCAATCTCATGGTCTCTCGTCGACCTTAGCTTATGTGACCAGTACGTTCTAAATGATTAATTAATCTACTTATTTATTTTGGAGCCTGTTTGCATGATCGTCAGCCCCCCCTTTTTTCCCCTGCATTTTCTCTCGCGCATATATCTACCACTTCCTCCCTACCATCGCGATACATTCAATTCTCTCGCCTTTTGAATGGGAACTATATACCGCTTGCTCCGCTAACGTTCTCACCTGCTTTTTCAACGTCAGATCTAATGCCCTCCATTCGGCCTGTTTCACCATGTGATAGTACATCTCAGTCACCTGCTGCGACTGCCAGCATGTCCCCAATCCGGTTCTCCCCCGAGTTTACGGGGCGGATTACAGGTGAGCCTGGAGACTCGGACCTCGCAAGTTCGCGATTCATCGCAACACCCGTCTACCCCGACGATGGATGTCCTTCGGGAATGCCGCCCCGCACCATCTCATCCGTGCCTATGGAGGATGGCCCTAAGGTTTCTTTTGAGAGTTTGGCCAAATGTTATCGTCAAAACCAGCAGAAACAAACCCGTCGGAAAAATTTGGAACAGCGTCTACATGCCACCAAAGTATCTATGGGTATCTCTGCGCGCCTGGTCCGCGTGGGTGCCACCATTCAGCGCGGCTTGGTTGACCGATTGAGACATGATGACAAGGCCAATTTCATTTCACTTTACCAGACCCTGATTGATCTCCAGGAATCCTGTGATTCTGCCTTTCGGCGCCACTTTCACCGGCAGGATCCGTTGGAAGAATGGCCATCATCTCCCGAGTCCACAGTGGATCGTACCCCGGATTTCTTCGTCCAGTTGAGTCCCCAATCCCGGACTGACCTGATTGAAATTCTGCAATTGGTCCGCACCGACCCTCAGTTTTTGTTTGAACGGTTATGCAGCTTGACCCCGGCCCAGCTGGGCTCTTTGGTATCATCCTCGGCTCCTTCGTGGGACGCCGGTGATCTCACGTCCCCTTCAGCTCCCCGATCCCGGAACTATCCTTCCTCCAAGCGCAATATTTCCACATCCATCCCTGTTAAGGACCATGTGCTCGCCTTTGAGAGAGCGGATGCTATATCCACTATGTTGTTTAATGCCTTTGCGGCCCCTCTGGACTCGGATGCCCCTGAAGCCAAATTGCGCCTGGATGTGTGGTCTTCTGTTTGCGCGAAGCTCATTGCGGATGGCAGCAGCAGATTCCATCCTCTCCTCAGCCACATATTGGCCGCCTGGTCCATGGGCAGTGATTGGAAAGCTAAGCCCAAATTTGAACTCTACCTCATGGATATTCTCCAAACTGGTGCATTCCTCTTGGAACATGTAGATACCCCACCCGGTCTGAACTTTGACGCCGAGCTTCCAGACCCTTTGAGAACGGATGTAGCCGAGGAATTCTTTGCCTCTGCGGTAGATGATTTATTCCGACTTTTGGATGACCCAGACGGAGGACTTCCCGTTGGGGTGATGGAACTGAGCAGCGCCATATTGCAAAAGCTGGATCGCCAGGACTGTCGTGATCGATTTCTGGAGTTCCTGTTTACCCAGTGGTACTTTGCTAAATTCCTCTATGGTGCACTAACCTTCCCTGAGGTATGATTCTACACACTTGGTCTACCTTTACCCCCCTTTCTTGATAGTCTGACCCTATTATTAGGCCCACGGACTCTTGCTTGACTTCCATATCAGAAAAGACGCGCGAGAGAAACTCTTAGGACAAGTCGGACTCCAGGCTTATTATCAGGTCTACACCGTCCTACGATCAATGTATGCTGCTCTCATTGTTATCTAAATTTTGCAGATATGTAACTAAGCTGACGAAAATCTATCGCTCATAGGACTCACTACTCTATGGCGCGTCCCACGGTCAGACACCATGTTGAGAACATGCTCTTACGATTCCAAAATGTGGCCTCGGAAAGACAAGCCCATATCCCACGCTCGTCGTACAGTAGCTCTGCAGGTGGACGCGAGTCACCGGCTGTCTTCTTGATGCTTTCGGCCACTGACATTCTCAGTCTACTGAATGCCCTTTTCCCCAGGACATGCTCTCCTGTGTGCAACTCTCCAACTCCATCTTCGGGCGTTTCAGGTTCTTTCAGGTCTCTCAGGTCTCTGCAATCCGTCTCGGAAAGACAGGGAACTTCGGTAGCCGAACCGGGCTTTTTCAAACCCATTATCAATAATTATTCCAAGCGTCCTTCCATCAGAGGACTCTTCTCAACTGACATGGATTTCTTGTCCCTCCCAGAGAATTCTTTAGCTCGCAGTGCCGATCGGATTCGCTTTGAACTGTCCGATTTGGGTGAACCTTATGGTCGCTCCAACTTGGAACCCCCATCCGCCGAAGAATGGACCATATTTTCAGTTACCCAGAACGGAAGGCGTCTGCTCTGGAGCCTTTTCTCCGACAATCAATCCACTTACCATAAAATCGCATCAGATGATGACGTTCAATCGACCGCCTTAGGCCTAGAAGATAACTTTGAAGCTCTTCAAACAGCTATTGTAAAACTGATCCAAGAAAATCCGGCCGACGACCATGTTGAAATTGGTTTTCAGGCCCACGATGCTCTGCAAACAGACAGCCTGTCCCTCAAGCAAAGGTTTGATCGGGCTATGGCTTATTGTCACCATACCTCTGATTTCATTGGTGCCCATTATTGGTGGAACGCCGGCCGACAGCTTGTTCGGACTGCCGCCAGCTCTCCTACTCGGCTTGCAGATGACTCGTGGATTCTTCAGCCAATGCATACCTCAAGTGCCCGCTCCCTTCAGACTTCACGCTCCGTTATTGAACGCTGCGAAAGTGACTTTGTCGCCCTCGACCGCCATATGCAGCGACTACAGCGAACAGTCAAGGACATGATGGCCACGGTGGCAAAGCTGCGAGACAAGATGTGGTATATGACCGATGTAAAGAACTCAAAGAGGTATGAGGAAGCTAAACATGTTGCGTTGGCATTGAAGACGATGATATACTCCGCACGTCTCTACAAACAGACACCTAATGACAGTCGATCCCGTGGCACTGGAAGATCATTCGGTGGGTCTTTACTGCAAAAGCCAGAGCTACAGGTTATGGATCTTATGAAGGCGCCGAGAAGCTATGGTAGTCCGAATAAACTCTCGGACGAACAGGTGGATTTACTCCGCAAATGGCTGTCCCATAACAATATCGAGAATTTCTGTAAAGGTGAGGAACGAATCCACCGGTTTTGTTACGAGGTCAAAACAAGTGTCAGCCGGCTAGTCGGAGAGACTATGGCGGAGACGCCTGTCTTGTGGGCCAGTGAACTATATCATCGAGAACGAGCCAAGTACGAAGGCTCCAGCAGCCGAACTTTCCTTGGTCTTTCTTCTAGTCTACGACCCTTCAGCATCGCCAGTGAAGAGCCTAACAATTCACTGCCTTCATATTCCAGTAATTTTCGCCCAACCGACTCACAGTCAAGGTTCTCACATGAACCTCCTCCGTTGAATACGAAAATGTCCTTCCAGAGTTTGATATCTGACAAGTGGAGGGTTCCTCGAGAGCCATCTATCGCCGATACTTCTTCTGTCGTGGGCTCCCCAGGAAGGACCCCGTCGACCTGCACCGGAGATTCCTGCAGCACGTTTTGGTCGGCACCACATCAGGCCACACAGTATGCTCCGAGCGCGTCCAGCCTATACTCTCGACCACCATCGCTCCTGAGTGAGACTGCAAGCCAGCAACCCCGACGCAACGATCGTAAAATCCTTGGAAAGGCGGCATTTTTGGATGGATTACGACAAACGCTTACAAGCCTCCTGTTAAGTGATCTGGGCTCACCGGTGTGGAGCTGCGGCAGCGAAACCGATGCCTGGTTTGGTAATGCTCTAGATCAGAAGAGAATCCAAGCACAAATGAAGAAACGAGCTCGGATACAACGGTTCTATACAGAGTACGACGAGCGGCTGATCCGCCAAGCTATCCGTCGAACATCGCCAAGTTCGCGAAGAAGCAAATCACTTGGACCTTTAGAGGGAGAAGAACCCCATATGATCAAGACATTGCCTTGCTCCACGAGCGATGCGAATGCGACTTTTGACGACCAATCCCCATTTTCATACAAAGCCGTATTTCGTCGCTTGATCGAGGTCTTCTCACGCCATGGAAGCCCATTTGCCAAGCTGAATGCGTTACGTGACCTACGCGCCTTGGTCATCGCCTCACTGAACTCAGTTAATGACGACAAAACTCATTTTCCTCGCGTCACTAAATCTTCTTGCCAAAGACGCAGTTTTGGTATTCAAGGGAGGAGAGCAGCTCGCTACAGCTTCCTAGAAACCCAGGCAAATCGGGTCTCGACCAAATTTACCCATATTCCAACATCTCCTACCGACGAGTCGGTCATCTTTGACTCCCGCCCCTCTGACTATCTAGCCCCCACGGAAAGCCAAATCGTGGAGGCCCTGCGTGATATAATCCTCGAAGTGAAACCAAAGACTCTATTCCGTGATTTGCAATTTATTTCATCCTTTGTCCCTAGTGAGACATTGAATAAGACCGATAGTGGAACCGCATTCTTACAGTTTGGTTTGGCTGCCCTAAGCTTGAAGGACGAGATCTGCAACAGCATGGTTGAAATTGCCGACAACATTGTCTCCCAAGAGCTCAGCCGGCGCCACCCACCTCATGGGCATGATATGCATGCACGGCCCGGTCATGCCATTGAGGATGCTGCCGGGATGTGGATCATTACTGCGAAAGAGGGGAACCCAGTTGCTCAGCGGGAGCTGGCAATTCTCTATCTCACCCACCCGGAGCTTCTCCCCCGTGTCACCCTGCCTCTCACTTTTCTGCGGGATACATTTAAAGAGGAGACGCTACTCAGGCGGGATAAGGACCCCAAGTCTGACCCGCAGAGCATGTGTTTGGCACTGCACTGGATGCAGCTGTCGGCCAACGGAGGAGACGAGCTTGCGCGGAACAGACTTCGTGAACTTGAAGAATTCGATTCTATCGCGTAACATTCCTTACAACTACGCATGTGATTTTTCAAGGGGCTTAGGCTCTTTGGCTTCTTTTTCTGTTATGTCACGATACCATTCATGATTCGCCATTACCTGTTTTTCTTTTTCTCGATATTTTCTATCCAACCCTCTTTGACCCTTTACACCTGACTAATCTTTTTGCATTTATTTTACAATATCTTGCCAACATGAAGAATTTCCTGCCCTGTAGTTGTACTCTGTTACATCAGCGTCTCATATTTTGCATGAGAGCAGGAACGGAGTTTTGGATTCCTTCCCTCTCTTATTATCTGCGGTCTTCTCTTAGTCTTATCTTATAAGATTCCCCTATACATGTTATTGATTGGTTCTTTATTTTTTATCTTCTATTTTAAACAGGGTGGCATTCTGCTTTCTCTTCGCTTTCCCCCATTTTCTGTGTTGAGAATCTTTGGAGTTCTACACCTTGGATTGTAGAGATTATAGGAGTGGTGGCCGTCTGTTCATCATATACAATTCCTATTGCCCTCTCCTCGCTTTTTATAGGGGCTAAAGTATGTCGTTATAAAGGTCTATAAAATTGAGGTTTCCGAACTGGCATATGCAATCCAGCAAGTAATCATTCGTGATGGAAATCTTTGACCACAATACTCATTGTTTATGTTCCCTTTCTTCCTCTTTTTTTTATTTATTTTTTTCCCTCCCTCCAAGCGTAATTATTATCGATATGGCATGAATACCACCGGTACCGCGGAGAGAGCTGGTGTTAAAATTTACTGTTTGATTTAGTAGGTCCTTCGACGTCATCGGCAGCAGGGCCCCACGTGCCAGTTCATGAAACTGTTGTTTCCGCTTGTCACTCGCACTTTCACCATCCTTCCATTTCTAGATGTGGTGAGCAGGACTACTTCTGAACACCTGCCATTAATCACCCGGTCCCTTCCCTCTACGTGTCCCAGGGCTTGGAGGATTTTTCAGCTGAGAGAAAACCCTCTCCGCAGCAAACTTTGGTCAGCCTTAGGAGGCTCAAGCACCCCTCCAATCCCGCATCATTCTGACGACCACTCAGCCTCAGTTTCTTGATCTTTGCGATCTCAGCTGACTAGGTTTTCCTTGATCAAAGAGTATCGCTGCCGTACCCTCCTTCCTTATATTGCGTCTTTTTCTGCGCGATCCCATTTACGTTTCCTTTACCTTGTTCTTCTCTTTTCGTCCGATTTCTGTCCAACGGGGATTCTACGATGGGGCACAACATGGACGAAACACACAAGAGACCCAAGGGTATCCTGAAGAACCCTAGCTCTCAAAGCATTCAAACAACACATGATACTTTGGCCCCACGGGCCCCCTCTACAGAACCCATGGATACGAAGGAGCTCACCCTGCAAAATACCCTACAAAACGCCGGGCGTCGCCGCTCCTCGTCTACCACACGTCCTGGGACCGCTTCTCGACGCCAATCGGTGGCTAGTGTCCAAAATGATGAGAACTCGCCGCGGTTGAAATGGGACGAGGCAAATCTTTACCTGACTGAACAGGAGAAAACAGCTAAGATGAAGATCGACGAACCCAAAACACCGTATGCGCCGCACTATGATCCAAGCCAGGATGAGGAAGAAATGGAGCTTGCAGAAGCTGAAGACAGCCTGATCGACGCGCAAGGGGTGGTTGTGGACGAACTTGACAAGACGACCAAAGACCCTCGGATAGCAGTCGCTGAAGATGAGATCCCCGATCTAGAACTAGGAGAGCCGGAGGAATCGATCCCTGATCGTGCTGGGGCCCAAGATAGCGATCGCATCGTACGCGCGCGGAGTCTGAGCAATGAGTCGCACCGGAGTGACAAGCATGTGGTTATGGGGGCCAACCAGCCCAATGGCGAGGCTGGCCCCGATGCGGATCACTTGTTGAGTCCCGAGGAGGCCCAGGAGAAGCATCGCCAATTTGAGCAGCAGAGGAAGAAGCATTACGAGATGCGGAATATCAAAGAACTTCTTGCGTATGTGGCCCTTCTCACGAGACTTTCTCATAGGTGTGCTAACATTCCTCTTTAGCCATTCCGTAGACCTAGAGGAAATGGACGAGGATGAAGACGAGAGTGCGAGCAAGAACTCTACCCCTGCTGTTCCGCCGCCGATGCCCCAAATTCCCCAGAAGTTCTTAAGGGAAGGGAAGTAGTGGCTACATTTTCCTGCTGGCATTATTTTCGATCAGTGCGAAACTGTACCCGTTTTATTTTATTTATATATTTTTTTTTTCCATCTTTACCTCACACTTATGCTACTTTTGTATATTTGTATATTCCCCAGCGATCTCCATGTTCTATGTTACCAATTATTAGTGACCATTATGGGTATTTCCATCCCTTATTCCCATTGTTACGAAAATAAGTCATGTTCCAATTGACTTGGGTTTCGTTGAGAAATGATGATAGATCATTCCGTGCAGGAACAAATCGGAGGATGAGGGCCCCGTTGATCCGATAAGTGGCCAGCTTCGTTAAGGGGAGGGGGCATGAATGAATTATTGACGAACAGAGGTAGCCACGGAAACTGGATGTGACTTGGCATGAGAAATCTTACAGAGGGTATTTCATGCATGCATGTCTGAGTGGTACAGTCACAATCAGGGGGGACATCTCGTCCGAATTCCACAATAGCCCTACTTAGTTATTGTACATACTCTACTATAACTACTGTACAGGGACACCAACAACAGTGACACACGGGAAACAAATCAAACATATCAAAGAGAAAAGAGAAACGAGAAAAGAAAGGAACAGAAAACATTCGTGGATATGGTAGAACAAGATAACTGCTCTTAAGAACATGATTCATGCCATCTGGACCAGCTCCGAGAACGGGCCCGTAGCTAAATTAGGTAAATGGAACTAACTAGGTAACGATTCAGTTGCTCCTGAAACATGCTGCACGTAAATTAATCCTACTTAAACTCAAGTGCTGAGCCGGTCGTTAGGCCACCAGGAGAGAAAAGGTACTGTGCTGTACGTACGGACGTCCCTTATGTGTAATACTAGAAATCAATGGGAATTTCTGTAGGAGGAAATGTGATTGATCGCAACCAGCGAAAATCAAATAATGAGGATCAGGAAGGTTAACTCCACAAATCAGGTTGAGTATGTGTCATGTTGGTCAAGAATGTTTATGTACGTAGCTTTTCTTTTCTTTTCTTTTTTTTTTTTCTTTTTTTTTTTTTTTTCCTCTTTTAAACCCCCTTTAAACGATTCCCCTCAATCTATGAGTAATCTAAACGGTTTCTCAACTCTACTACTACTAATACTACTACTAAAATCTCGGGATATTTATAGTAGCTCCCGCGTTAGATTAAGGCTCATTTGCTAGATTAAAAAGCAAATAAAATCAAATACGTACTCCGTAGCAGAACAAATTCATATTAAATTTAGTCTTACTATCATTCCCTCCTATCAATTTCCTGCCCCTCGTGACTTGAGGGCATGTGATCTGTGTGGCCTGCGTGCTTTTTTGTTGTTTTTTTCGACTTTCTCTTCTCGTTTCTTTCTCTCCTTCCACCTTTCTATCGAGTATTAACCGTTGCACTGTGATTCCTTTCCTGTACAGTTTCGTTATCCTATACAGCAGCGCCCACCGAGCTCCTAACCCATCCAATTTTATCCCCTTTCTATTTATCGGCCTAAACATAAAGATGGCTGATCAGCAAGAGAAGACTGCTTCGGCTGTCCCTGAAACCCAACCTCCTAGCCAAACTGCCGAGACAACAACCCAAACAACCGCAACCCCAGCTCCAGAGGTTCAAGCAGAACAGACGCAACCTACGGAGTCTGGTCCGACCGTCGCCAGCACTACAACTGAACAACCCACCAACCCACCTACAGCAGAAGCTCCGAAGGAGACCGTCGCGCCCGCGCCGGCTCCAGCCCCGGCAGCGGAAGATGCGCCAGCAGAACCTGTGCCCGCACAGGAACAGCAGGAAGAGGAGAAGCCTGCAGACAATAAGCCGGAGTATCTGGCCAAAAACCCTGCCTTGAGTGAGCTGTTCGAGCGTCTGCCTTCTGTGCTCTCCAACAGTGGTCATGATGAGATGTGGGGTGTCCCCCTCCGGGATTCCAGCGATGTTCCGACGGTCAACGTTCTGATAAAATTCCTTCGTGCTAATGAGGGAAATGTTAAGTTGGCTGAGGATCAGCTGACCAAGGCGTTGCAGTGGCGCAAGCAGACAAATCCCACCGCGTTGGTTGAGGGCCGCTACAGCGCCAAAAAGTTTGGCGGTTTGGGATACTTGAGCACGTACAAGGACGCCGGCGGCGAGGAAATCGTTGTCACCTGGAATATTTATGGTGGTGTCAAGGATCTTGGTGCTACGTTTGGAAATGTGGATGAGTAAGTTAACGTTTCCCAGTGAAACTGGGTGCATCATATCTGACTGCGTGTAGGTTCATCAACTGGCGTGTTGCACTCATGGAGCTTGCCGTCAAAGACTTGAAGATGGACCAAGCTACGTCCGTTATCGACTACGAGGGCGAGGATCCTTATCAGATGATCCAGGTTCATGACTACCTGAACGTCAGCTTCCTGCGCATGAACCCCAGCGTCAAGGCTGCTACTAAGAAGACCATTGACGTGTTCGCTACAGCCTACCCAGAGCTGCTTCGGGAGAAGTTCTTCGTCAATGTCCCCTCTATCATGGGTTGGATGTTCGCGGCGATCAAGGTATTCCTGAGCAAGAACACCACCCGCAAGTTCCACCCTATTTCCAATGGCGCCAATCTGGCACGGGAATTCCCGCCAGCCGTCAAGGAACAGTTTCCCAAGATCTACGGCGGAAGCGCTCCCGCTCTGCATGAGGGTGCCCGTACAGTGGCCCTTGAGGAGGACAACGAGCCAGCCCCCACCCCTGCTGCCGCCGTGGAACCTACCGAAAAGGCCAAGTCAGAGCAAGAAGCACCCAAGCAGGAAGAGGCCCCGGAGGCCCTAAAGGAGGAAGCTCCCAAGGAAGCCCCGGTGGAGGCCCCGAAGGAGGAACCCAAGCAGCCAGCTGCCGAAGAGCCGGCCAAGACTGACACGGCTGTTACGACTCAGGAGACAGTGGCTCCCGCTGAAGCCAAATAGATGCAGCGTCTTTGTCCCTTTGATGCTCTGGCCGAGTCGGCTGCTTTTGATGGTAATGGTAGGGTTAACTGGCGGAGAAGAATGTGTTGGATGGTTTGCGATGCTTGATTTGTGTCTGAAATTTTGATACCTCGGAAAGTTTGTGTTTCATGTCTACAAGAGCCAGTTTGTTTTGAACCACTTAATTAGAATAGTAACTTTTAATAATAGCACAGGAGCAACGAATGTCATTGTTTTTGTTATGAAGAATACCACCACCTGTGCGGAGTAAAGAGAAGGCGGTGGGAGGGGGGGGAATATCGTAACACCGAGACCCATAATTCCGCTCGCTTTCTTCATACCTCCGAAGCTCATCCTAAAGTGCCAGGAACCACAAGCTGATCACCGCTCCGTGCTGTACCCAGCAGTCGTACTTCTGGTGGTTTTTACCAGAATGCCCCTCACCCTCCCCAGATCTTCTCACTGTTTGCGATAATCCGATTACTCTCTTGAATCGCAGACGACCCCTGAGCTTCCGTTGACTAAAGTCTGGCCTCGTCAGTCACGCGCTTACCATCAGCCCGCCAGACCAGCAGCTCCGAACAACTCAAGATGTCCGTGTGGAATCCCGATAATATCCGCGACGTGGCCGAGTCTGTCGGCATCGTCAACCTCAACAATGATGTAACCGAGAACCTCGCCCGCGACGTGGAATATCGTATCGCTCAGGTGCTTGAAGAAGCCCTCAAGTTCATGCGCCACAGCCGGCGCACTCTCCTCACTACACAGGACATAGCGCAGGCTCTGCGTGTGCTCGACGTGGAGCCGCTATATGGATATGAGTCTACAAGGCCGCTGCGGTTCGGGGAGGCGTCGTTGGGACCAGGGCAGCCGTTATTCTACGTGGAGGATGAGGAGGTGGATTTTGAGAAGTTGATCAATGCACCGTTGCCGAAGGTTCCCAGGGAGATCTCTTTTACTGGTATTGACATTTTCAGCTAAGGTGTGTGTTGATGTTTCACTGACTTCTTATTAGCACACTGGCTGGCCGTTGAAGGTGTACAGCCGTCGATCCCTCAGAATCCTACCTCAGCGGACTCGAGAAACCTTGAATTAATGTCCAAGGGCCCTAATGCAAACTCTACATTGGCAGCAATGAGTGGTAGTGGGAATGTTGCCGTGAAGCCTCTGGTCAAGCATGTGCTATCCAAGGAACTACAATTATACTTCGAAAAGGTCTGCAACGCCTTCCTGGACGAGTCTAGCGAGGAGTACAGAACGTCGGCCTATTCGAGCTTGAGGGAAGACCCAGGCCTCCACCAGCTAGTGCCGTACTTTGTACAATTTATCTCTGAAAAGGTCACGCATGGCCTGAAAGACATCTTCGTCCTGGCCCAGGTGATGCGCATGGCGGAGGCTCTGGTGCAGAACAAATCACTCTACGTAGATCCTTATGTGAGATTGCCTCCGACTTTCCCGTGTGTACGGGCTTTCTAACGTGTGGACGCCTTAGGTTGCATCTCTTGTTCCTCCTATCCTGACCGGTCTGATTGGTCGACAGCTTGGAGGCAATGCAGACCTGTCCGAACAGTTCGCGCTCCGTGAGCTGGCCGCATCTCTTCTGGGCCTCATTGCCAAAAAATACTCACACTCCTCACACACGCTCAAGCCACGGTTAGCTCGGTCGTGCCTGAAAACATTCCTGGACCCGTCGAAGCCGTTCGGGGCGCACTACGGAGCCATTATTGGTCTCCAGGCTGTTGGGGGAGCGGAGGCCGTGCGGGTCCTGATCCTGCCTAACTTACCGACCTACGGAGCGCTACTGAAAGACGGTATGGCGGAAGAGAATCCGCGACGGCCCGAAGCAGAGAAAGTGCTCGCCGTCTTATTTGGGGTCCTCGGCACTTTGCGTGAGGGACGGACGGCACTTGCCAATGGGCACAATGGCGTCGTTACAGAGGATTTACGCGAGCGCCTGAATGGTAAAGTGGGAGAATTTCTCGCAGCCAAGATCAGCGAAGCGGGGGAGGTTGATATGGTGCATGCGATCCTAGAAGTGTAGATTTTAGGCCCCTCTTTTGCTGAATACTCTTATCTTTGTCCCCCCTCCCTTCCCCCCTTTTATTCTGGGTTACTTTTCTTTTCTTTTCGTTTTTTTCCTAGCACAGAACATTGGCGGTGGGATGGATGGGTTATTTGATTGTTTCGGCGTTGGGGAGAGCGATGTTACCGGTGTTCAAATCATACATACATACCAATTAGCATTTGACTTTTTATTATTATTATTATTATTATTTATTTATTTATTTTTGGCAGAGAAAAAACTCTCATTGGATTTCCTCTCGATTAGTATTATAATGAGTCAATTAATTGAAGGGGGGTTGGGTGCAGTTGAACCTTGACCATACTATGCACGTCCGCCACTTTTGATCGATCGATGTACTACTCCGTACTACTACTAGTAACTACTACTAGTACTGTGCATAGATGTAAGTCCGTAGTAATTGGATTGAAGTAGTTCCGCCTCTCCGCGTTCCTGACCGACGTCACTTCCGGGCTGACTCAGCCCGCCTTGTTCACCGCCCACCGTTTGGGAGCCTAAGCCGGGGGAGGGTGTTTGTTAGAAAAGGGATAAAAAACCAGAAAAAAAAAAGAAAAAAAAAAGGCAGAGACGAGGAAGTGTCGCACGACCACCAGTAGTAATTCTTCCTCCACTCTTCCAGATCAGGCTTCGATCGATCTTCTTCCACACCAACCCCCCGACCGATGTGAGTGGAAAGACTTAACATATTCTCTTCGTAGTTCAGACGGTACGCCAAGTGTCCCGAATAAAAGATCAACATTAGTATTACTTTGTTTCTGACTTTTTTAGGTCTTCGTTTCATTCTCTCGGATTCTGCGAACGAGCCCAACCCAAGCTGGAACTAAACCGAAAAGCGTCAACCACTCCCGTCGCTTTGCGCCCCACGACTTTTTCTCGGGCCCACACACCGAACAGCAATTAAGAAAGAGGGCAATAAATATCAGGATTCACCTGCACGCCTTTTCAACCCCACGTCAACATAAATTTCTGTCTTTCGATTCCACCGGTGCTCTTGCACTTCTTCTCTCCTCTTCACTGGAGCAATTGATAAACTAGTCTCGATCTCGGGCAATTCCTCCGTGAGCGCTTGCAGATGTCCAGACTCGTAGCGTCTCGCGACAACTTGCTGCTTTGAGCTCTCTTGCATTTTAGCCTTCTATGAGCCCGAAGGATCTACTGCGATACCTGTCTAAGCCTGCGAAGTAGGTTGTCCCCTGATGGTGATGGTCTTGGTGTGGTCGCCATACTAATCCCACTGGCACCTAGGCCCCGATAACGCGACTTACGCCTTCCCACTTTTCTCCAACTTCCCTTTTTTTCAATTAGAAAGGCAGATATCCTCGTCTGCTAGACCCGATACTTTTACCGGTATCGGTATCTTCCAGTACGAGGGTTTGCGGCTGATAGTCACCATTCCTTTCGCCAGAGGCATTTTCCTCCTTTCCCTCTCTTTCCGCCCTCCCTAGCAGCCCTTCAAGGCTTTTGCTGGACCCTACCTTTCTGGCTGTGTGCCACTTTCTCCCGACTCGTTAAGGGCCTTCTCTCTCAGGCGGACATCCCCCCCGTTCGTCTGGGCAGCAGATAGTGCTTCCTAGGCTTTCTTGTCTACGGTCCACGAATCGAGCGCGTCGCTTCACTGCACATCTCCAATTCATATTATTGCCATCAGTTCGCCTCTTCAACTGTTAATTAGTCAAGATGGTTTACATCGGGATTCCCAAGAACTATACGCAGTCCCCATCATCGTTTATGGCGACTCCCTCTCTGACCATTAACCATGAGGTGACACAGGATCTTGATTCCACCAACGCCTTCGAAGGTACGTCACACACAATCATGATCCAACAGTGTAATGCAGAATCTAATGAGACACAGGACCCGAGAAGCTGCTAGAGGTCTGGTTTGCCCCATCCGCCAATGAATTGGGCTCGTCTCAACCAACCGGACTAAAGGCAGTGCCGGAGGAGGTCTGGAAGGACATGCTGGATCTCGTCAATTGCCAGGTGCTTTCCATTGTCTCGTCCGAGGACGTCGATGCCTACCTTCTGTCAGAGTCTAGCATGTTCGTCTGGCCTCACAAGCTCATCCTGAAGACATGTGGCACCACCACTTTGCTCTCTGGGCTGCCCCGCATTCTCGAGATTGCTGCTCTGTTCGCCGGTTTCCCCAAGTCCGCGGCTCCTTCCGGTGGGGTTGGTATTGCAGCTGCCCCGTACCGTGTGTTCTACAGTCGCAAGAACTTCCTGTTCCCTGACCGCCAGCGTGGCCCCCACCGCAGTTGGCGGGACGAAGTGCGAACTATGGACAGGCTCTTCTTGAATGGCAGCGCCTACATGATTGGCAAGATGAACGGCGAGCATTGGTACCTGTACCTAACCGAACCCAACACCTTGCTCACACCTCCGGCCAGCCCTAAGGGTGATGAGGAGGTCACGGAGACCAAGTTTCTCCAGATCCCAGAAGGTGGTTTGCCTCAGGGAGGTGACGCCAATGATGAGACGCTTGAGGTGCTGATGACCGACTTGGACGAAGAGAATGCGAAGCAGTTCTATCTTGAAAATGCCACCGCTGTCGCTGAGAAGCGCTACCGCAACTTTGACAAGGATAACAACGACCATGTCGACGTGTTCAGCAACAACTCAGACATGGATCTGGAGGACACAGATGGAACCCGCATTTTGCCACCGGAACTGACCACGGAAGGCCACGCCTTGGGAACTGTTGTTTCCGAGTCTTGTGGTCTTTCGGATGTTTATTCTAAAGAGAAGTTCCCCGAGTCGCGCATTGATGCCTACCTGTTTACTCCCTGCGGCTTCTCTGCTAACGGCGTCATCCCGACTCCGGACCCGAAGGCCAATACCCACTACTTCACGGTGCATGTGACGCCCGAGCCCCACTGCTCCTATGCGTCCTTCGAGACCAATGTTCCACATTCGCAGAACGGCCAGACCACTGCAGGTATTGTGAAGCAGGTGGTGAATATCTTCAAGCCGGGTCGCTTCACTGTGACTCTGTTTGAAAACAAGCCCAGTGATACTGAGCTGAGCGGCATCGGCGAGGCCAAGTACATCGAACGACAGGCGGCCCGTCGGAAGTCTCAGATGGAGCACATCGAAGGATATCGTCGTGTGGATCGCATCGTTCACGATTTGGATGGTTATGATCTTGTCTTCCGCTACTATGAGCGGCTTGACTGGAAAGGGGGGGCCCCTCGGCTCGGAGAAGAGCGCATCTAGGGGGCGTCAATTCATCCGTCGTGCGATCTGTTGACTCATCGGGATTTACATCGCTTTGTTATTACTGTCTTTTACCCTCCGTGACTGTTTATTGCTTCGTTGGATTATTACAGAGCCAGTTTTGTCGGGTTTTTAATGTTTCAAGCTACTGTTCTGACGTTCATTGAGTACTTACCTTGGCCTGATCGGTTTTTCGGTTTAACAATTTATCATTTGGTATGTCAGCAACTTGACCTGAACAAGGGTTCACCAGCCCCCATGATCTTTTCCCGTAGCGGCAATAATCACGTCCCATACGACTATTTTAGAAGTAGCGATCCCCTCTTCTCTCTCTTCTGGTCATTCTTCGTTGGCCGATGCCTTGGGTGTCCATCAATACAGTACTACTGGATACTTGATACCCCAGGCATAGTATTACCCAAAACGGACTAGCGTGCCCAAGCGTCAAATCAGTTATCGGATCTTTGATAGTGAACCTTCGATACATGCATCAACTTTTAAATCAACACCAAGTGAGCGATTTCCATAAGCTTCAACACATCCACCCCCGAAATCGACGCGTACCCCGAATCCACAGAGAATAACTCACCATGTCATCACCACCACCGACAAATCCCCTAAAACGTCCCTCAATCTCATCTTCCGCCTCCCAACCTCTCGGCACCAACCCTAAACGACCACGCATGCACCCACTCCGTCAGACTTCCTTTCCGACGACTATCGACGCGGATTCACGCGCATACGGCGCTGCTAGCGATGCAGGCAGTGTGACGGGCAGCTTCACTGGGAGCCTAGGGGGCACGAGCGCGGACGGTGTATTTCGGAATAAGAAACGTGGGCGTAAGAGTAAGGCGGAGAAGGAGCGTGAGAGGGAGGATGCGGCGAGAGGGGAGATGCGGTCGTCTGCTGATGCAGAAGGGTCTGTGAGAGCAGGTGCGACGGGCGGCGGAGGCGGAGATGATGGGGATGATGATGAGGATTTCGAGGATGAAGGGGAATTATTGGGTAGAGAGGAAGGGACCACGGATACGGAGGCTGAGAAGAAAAATCTTGCGTATGTCGTTCATCCTCTTTTTTTTTTTTTTCTCTCTTCTTTATTTGCTTGTCGGGGTGACTTCTGTGTCCCCAAGGTGAAGATGCTAACTGGTTGATATAGATTGCTGGTCGATGCGTTTAATCCTTTACAGTCTGAGCGGTACGATCTGTTCAAACGAGCGAAACTGAGGAAAGAGACTTTGCGACGTATTGTGAATCATGCGCTATCACAATCCGTGCCGGCGAGTGTGGTTACTACGATCAATGGATTTACGAAGGTGTTTGCAGGAGAGATCATTGAAAAGGCTCGGACGGTGCAGGCTGAATGGGCGGAGGCACACGATCAGACTGCGATAGCTGCTTTTGAGGCTGAAGAGGCCGCGACAATGGCGCGAGCTGCGAATGCATCGGTTCCTGGCACTCCAGGTCTCGGTACGCCGGGACCCGGCAGACTACCTCAGGTGAAACAAGAATCCTCGAATTCCTCGTCTTTCCCTCCCACACGTGCCTCCGGGACACCAGTTCCATCCGGTGTAGCAAGTTCGCAGCAGGCGGTGAACGGCACTGCACAATCTACACGGGAGAGGATATTCAAGATGCCTCCTAATCCTCACCGGGGACAACTACTTCCGTCGCATTTGCGAGAGGCCTTACGACGCTGGAAGCGGGATGGAGAGGGAGGCGGGGTCGGGTTCTCCGGACTGAGTATGGGCAATCTGGGAGTTCGGGGATCGGTGACGTGGGGAGCAGGCAGCGTTGGCGGACGACGCATTTTCCGCTAAAAAGAGCAGTGCTTTCTCGATCTAGATCTCTTTATGACGTGACGAAGGCCGCAACCACTCGGATTCTGAAACAAACTTATGGTCGTTTTGCGACTTTCAGTGTCTGGAGCTTGAGCAGCTACTATCTTCTCAATTTGAAAAGGTACTCTCGCCCACGGCGCCTCCTTGCAATGTTCTGCTGGTCAAATCGATCTGGGAATCATCTGTGATTGAGCATACATAGGAACAGTGGAAGCCGCCGACCCACTCCTGGTATACCAGAGATAACATCGCGTCTCCTTAACCCGTACTCCCAAGATATCAATGAGCGCAACAAGGCAATACTGAGCCTCCTCAGCCTCCTCAGCCTCCTCAACTGAGTTCTGCGCCGGGGGCCACGCTGTGCTCCCGGCATTTCCTCGCGTCCAGAGGCTCAAATATAATAGTACATATTAGATCTTTAATGACATAATCTAACGTTTAATTCATCGAGTGAGGGAAAGAGCTTTTTCTCCGAGCGTGAGACGACCATGAACGGGACATAAAGTATGCACACGCCTTGCAATGCATCAGGATGCCAACTCATGCGTCCTAGCTGACGTGGTCAATTCCGCAGGACGAGAAGGATTCTTCCACTGCTCCGTCTCCTGCTGTTGGATCCCATACATCGAATTACTCCCAGCCACAGACGAAGGGACAGCCCCATTCCCCCCAACCCAACCACCGCCGGCAGTAGTAGCGGCAGCAGGAAGACTTTTCATCCTAGCTCTCCTCTCCCAGAGTGCCCAAGCGATCGCTCCCAGAGCAATAACACCCAAGGGCACACCAACACCAGCCCCAATAGCGACATCTCTCGAGTTCGAGCTCGACGACGACGACGACGACGACGTAGTATTTGACGCGCTCGTCGACGCACTCAACGACGACACGTTCGCCAGCACCGCATACCCAGCAACAAGGGTAGCGTCCGGCACGAAGAAGGGACTCCCCGAATCAGAACTACAGGTCACCTCGGAGCCGTTGCTCACGGGGTCATTGCAGCAGTATTCGGCTAGTTTGTTACTGTTTAGGCCCACTGGGAAGAGAGAGGAACCTGAGCTGCGGGAGACGTTTGCTATTTGGGGGGAAGGGGGAAGGGAGGTTTTGGTTAGTTTGCATTGGATCGTTTTGAGTCTTCCGACAATATGACATGAATGATTAAGACATACTACAAAACTGCGGGCAATTATCCGAGTTCCAGTTCGGATCTGTACAGGCGCCCCGGGACAGGACGTACGGTTGAATGGCGACGTTTAGACACAAGTTATTCGAGAGACAGAGATTCCCGGAGCGGCAGCAAGGAGCGTATTTGTCGTCGGAGCAGGGGACATCCTCAGTTGCTGGTGTACCGTCGGGCCAGTAGCATGTTTGGACACTGGAGACTGATTGAATTAAGAGAGAGAAGAAGAAGAAGAAGAGATACAACGGTGGCGGAAGATTCATGGCGGCTTTTGTCATGGTTGTTTTTGGCGGTTGATATATGGGGAACCATGAAGTGCAAGAGGTTGGTAACCCTGGTCGAGGTGGGGGGTGGATGGGTTGTCTGTCAAATTTAATCTAGTTTCTAGTGTCAGATACTATTTAATAGATTTATTATCTGAAAGGGATGGCAGGACTCAGGAGAAGCTAAGCGATTGCTGAGCTGACGCCTTGAATCAACGTGCATGAAGCATTTGCCAATCAGAGGGAAAACTATCGCCATTCCAGTAAGAGATTGGAAGATCTTCATTCATGTCAGTATTGGTAATTACAATGGTCTTGTTTGCACTCAAGGCTTGACTGTGTGAGATCCAATCACCTTGCATCTGTCCTTTGAAGTGTTTTATTTTAGTACCCAGTAGGACTCCGTAAGTATGCCTTGTGCCGAAGTCCCGATCATCTTTCATGTACATTTAATACTATACTAACTATTTTTTCAAGATAGCCAGCCATGACCAATAAATAGTACAGTATTTGCCAATCCTCTACCACCCAAACACCATATTTCCCCTCCTCTAAACCATTAAATTATCGCGTCCCGAGTCAAACTCATGAAGCCATATCGGACACAACAATATCACCTCCAAAAGATAGAAAACTGCCTGCCCCATCTGCCGAATCAGATCAGCCTCCGTTGGCCTTAAACAGTTGGGGAACTTAAAGAAAAGATATACTATAAACCCACCATACTGAACAGGACGATATCAATCAGGGCAATTCGCATCGGAACGCCGATCAGGAGTAGCGCCACAGTCATTCAAGATGGATGATTCTCAGCGTCATGGGCTCCCTGGCATCCTGTAGTTTATGACGGCGCAGACGTTGTTCGTCGAGACGAATAAGTCCCCTCCGGATAACCTCCACGATAAGGATGATTATGATGGTGGAGACGAGCAATTCGAGCCACTGCACCACGTAACCGTTATATTCGTCTTCCAAATCCATCCTAAATAAGCATTAGATTTGTCCCGTGCATTAGACATAAGTTGGGTAGGATGAGGGGAAGGCTCAGCCGTCTATCAGGCTTTCTTGTCTTACAGATCACTGGTAATTGTTGAAGTCCTTATTCCTATACCTACCCTGTCACTCAGTTCTTTGTTCCGAAATTCAGATCAGCGTTTGTAAGCTCACCAAAGAGAACGACACCAGAGCAGTTGTTCACTAAGAGGTAGTTCCTAAGTATCCTCATCGATGAGAATCAGATAGAAAGATGCTGTCAAGGGAATGTTGATGAAGGGATTCTGGTCTCAGCAATGTACTATCATGGCCATCATTGTCAAGGCGACTAAGCAACGAGTCAGCGACGCTGTGTAAATGAGATGTAAAACTCATCACAGCAAACAAGGACCTCACCCTAACAATCTTATACAGCGTGCGCGGTGGGGCCCATCATTCACATGATGGCAAACATGCTTCTTTTTTGTCTCTTGCAGTCTTTCATGGCCGTACTTTCTCAACTGCTGCTCAATGTGTCTAATTACCCAGTCAGGAGGAAGAGTGTCGTCCGACACTTCTGGTCGACCCTGCCTTGTTCTGGGCTCTGGGGAGCCTGCAGCTGGGCTTACGATAAATTGGCATATCCTCGAGACAGGGCTACGGTCCCGCTGGGGAAAAAACCCCTGTCGGGTCCAGAGGATAATTCGAAGGTCGCGACAGTGGTCTTCCTGATTGGTGAGCTGAAAGTGTGCCCCTAGAAAAAAAAGCGGCCTCATCTTATCAGTGCACAGGAGGTCCAGGCTCTGGAAAGAGTACTATTGCGACCAGGCTGGCTGCCGACCTGGGCCTTGTCCATCTGAATCCCGAGGAGATCGTTAGTCGTCTAGAGGTCACCGGCCCCGAGGACGAGTGGCTTGTAGTGAAACACACTATGGACGAGAACGGAACCGTTCCGGACGATATACTCAGCCTTCTTTTGAAGACAGAAATATCCAAGCATCTAAACGCACACCAGAGAGTGTTTCTGATCGAGGCCTTCCCCAGGTCATATGCGCAGTTCATGGAATTCACCAGTGTGAGTTAGCCCCAGGTGCTGAGACTCTCCTAACCGTGTCATTAGATCTGTGGCTACGGGCTTACTATCAGCCTTGATGTATCCTCTGCCACGTTGATGAGGCGCTTTTTGTTAGAGACTCAGTCATTCTCGGAGAGAGTGGCGCAAATGGAGGATTTCCTTAAACGCGAAGACGCTTTTGCTGGCGCAGAACTTGCTCTCTATCCACACGCCAATTTCACGGATGGTCTTGTCAAGGTACGTGAAGCGGATTCTGCATGCAGGCTTGACATGGATCCTGATCGGCGACAGGTTTGTGCTGAGCTGAAGGTTGAAGAATTTTACCCACATCTGAAAGATCTCGTCGCGGTACGACTAGGGATCTAATCTGAAAGACGATCCGTACACTAACATGGACTAGAGAAAGCTCGCCAGTCCTGAGACGACTCTCTGGATCAAAGAACTGGGCATGGAAATGGTGTCCCCGGTGGATGACTTTGAGTCTTAACCTCAGCTCCCCTGACATGCTCGCAACCCAGCAGTCGTCCAAGGTCAGGTGTTTTCCGGTTGGGTTCCTTGTCATGCAACCACGGGTCACTACTCTTCTGGAGAAGACTTGCATTTCGAGCTCTCTTTGGTGCAGTATAGTGTACTGGTCGATGGCATTGTTGCCGCCAGAAAAAAAAATTGTATCAAACGTTTGTTCCAACATTCAACCTGTTAACAAGTAGCCTGCGCAATTGAGAGACGGCCTATAAGGGTGGATGTTCTATTTAATCTGAAAATTCATTCTAAGTAACACATAAAACAGAGAGCTGAATGGTACACGCCATATTATACAATGAAATAGAGTCTCAATATGTAGATGGCCGACTATGTGGCATAACCTCGTGCTCACCTTTGCTTGGAGTTTTTGAATGCAGAACGAGCCTTCTCCCTTTCAAGCTCCAGAGCTCTGAGGTGGGCCTCTCGTCGCGCATGGTTTCTCTCCTCCCGTTTCCAGTCTTCTTCCTCTTTCCTCCTCTGCTCGTAGTCTGCCGCTAATTTGCGGTCCTTCTCGCTGAGCCGAGGGGCTTCCGCCAGCGACCCGTCTGCATTTTTCTTGGGCTCATTGCCCATTGCCGAGTCTAGTTTTCCCTTTACATCCGTTGTAAGATTATCGTAATTCTTTTTAACGCTATCGAGCGTACGGTCGACGAAACTAAGCTTTTGGCCCTCCTCTACTGTAGGCACTTCCATACTTTTATCCGCCTTCTGGGTGTCGAGGATCATGCGGATCGCTCTACCATGCTCCTCGGGTGACATTCCGGTGTTTTCTACCGGCTTTTTGGGAATTGCAATGTTGGCAAAACGCCGGAAACTGTTAGAGGAAAGCATGTATGCTTGCCCCAAAGCAAACACACCGGTCGATAGGAAGTAGAGCTGAAGGGCACTAGGGAAGAAGGACATAAACGCGAAAGAAAGGGCGGGCATTCCGTAGAGAACAGCTCTGCCGACGGGGGAGTTCGCCATTTGGTTCATACCGTTCTCTCCGCCTTTCTGTAACAATAGTTAGCTTTACCACTCTCGGAGTATAGAGGCATACCCGATCATACCTTGAAAGACAGATACATAGCAAATGCTGTAGCAGCTGGAAGAAGAAAATATGGATCCGCAACCGTGAGATCCTTGATCCAGCCGACGGACTCCACAGCCAATCCGGGCACTGGCAAAGAAGTCATTCCCTTGACAACTCTATAACAACCGAAACCCAAAGGAAGCTGGATAAATGGTATCATTGTCTTGTAGAACTTAATACCATGAGCACTGTGGAGTTGCTGCAACTCCGCTCTCGCTTGCATCATGTCCGCATGCCTCTTCTCGTTTGCAGCCTGGGCCATCTTGGCCCGGAGGGGTGCAACAACATCTTTCAAATTGTGTATTTTGGTGGAAACATCCGCTGCGCTAAGCATTGGTTTCAGCAGAGCCAAACGGACCAAAAGACCCGTTCCAACAATACTAGCCCACCATGGAAAACCAGCCCAGATGTGGAAATGCTCGATGAAGTATTCAATCATGGACGAAGGGCCCCAGCCGTAGTCGAGTCCTAGGTCTTTCAGGTATCCAACCTTCTCAGGAATTGCGGTGATGTCAAAGTCAGAAAGATCGGATGCTGGTTCAGGTGCGGCCGTGTCCACAGCGGTTGCAGCAGTGGCTGTCGAAGCAGAGGCAGTGGAAGTGGTGGAATTGAATCGTGCAGCCGAGGCATGATGAATGGAGGAGGCAGGCCTCCAGGACAAGTTTCCTGTAAGCGATTGGTTCAATCTCCCATATCGTACAGGGAATCCCGAAGCATGGGAGCGAAATGAAGACATCTGTCAATGTTTAGTATTTGCCGACGGGGGAGAACGCATCCCGATTAAACGAACCGATCGACTGGAGCGTGAGAAGGCAGTCAATCGCTGCCGGGCAATGGCAGGCATAGCGCCACGCCCTTTCAGGCCAGCTCCTCCCAGCATCATTGCAATTAGAGCCCACGGAAAGACAAAAGTCGAACTATGCACTGGGGATAGCGTTCCTGAAGGGAAGAAGCGCGACAACGGCCGATTGATCGGACTTTTTGCGCCAAGCCCGGTTTTTCTGCCGGGCGGCCGGAGAACCCCAGGCTTTTACCGGCTTGTTTATATAAATGGTACAATATATCGGCCAAAATAGTAATGATAATGATGATGATGGTAGACTAGCTGTCGCTCAATCAGAGGATTATACAGCTGCAGCTAAGTCATCGCTCTCATGCCAAACTCGGGGTGCTTCGCCAGACGCCATCCAGTCAGACAGTACAAGTACTACTCATGCCTTAGGATCTATGTACATTTATAATTCCCACGTATACGTCCCATGCTGTAGTAAAAGATAACCAAGGAATCTTGCTAACAATTCTGTTTCTGTTGTTGTGCTTTTCAGTGTGAGCGCGGTCGCAGAGTCTTATAGTGAGCTTCCAGCACCTATCTTATTCCAAAGACGCCGTGTCTCGCAAGCTGTTATTCCTCCGCGATGGAACTTCTCGAACCTCCAAACCAGGCCCCGCTGGTCTCCGATAGGTAGGGAAGATCTGGCGGCAAGATTACAATATTAGCATGGTCCTTTGAAAGTATGCGGAAACCCCGTTTGCAGCCAGGGGCGTACAGCAGAAACCGATCAGATAACAGTACCTTTGTGCCAGACCATCCTAGGCGGAAGGCTGCTTCATGTGCAAATAGTTCACCAAAGCCCAGCATGAGTCCATTCACGAAGGGAAGAACCAGATTGATGGCAGCGCCTCGCAAGATGCTCCAGATTGTAGGGGGTTTGTAGAGGATCAGAGGGGAGCTCGACGTCGACTCGGATAACTCATTGTTGGCCGAATAGTTCTCCGAGTCTGAACGAACGGTCAACCCGGATTCGTAGAGCTCGCCGCTCGAGCTTGTGTGGTCACCCGAAGCCATGATGCGGGGATAAAGGAAGAACGCGCCGTCAACCAACGAGTGCGGATCGGAGATTGGTCGTAGGGGGGAGGATCAACGGGAAATGGCAGTGATTTGGCTCGAAAGGATAAGTTCAAAGAGACGGGATCGGATTCTAAACCCTTTCTGGCATAAATTATGACCGTCCCAGGATTTGCTGGATCTGGCTAGAATTGCATTTTTCTAATACCTTCCTCGTCATATATGTTGATGCTTGGATACACCTGACCGGTTATGTAATCAGGTACTGCATGCCGCTTCAACGAAACACCAAAAACTAATGCTTTTAACTGAAAAGGTCATAGCTGGCGAACAAAGAAATGTCGTATTTTTACTCAGGGTATCATGACGCCCCATCCACAAGGGAACATTGCATGATTTGTTGCGTCACTTTAGTACTGCACTTATGCTAAGAAGTTGAGCAATTATAGTAATACTCTCTCCAATCGGTTTAGTTACTACGATGGGGACCCAATGGAACAAACGGCGATGATTGGGCACTGAGAGTACTGACTGAGATGCCACCTGTAGTTCTGTGTATCGTAGCAAGTGTAGGGCACTAAGTCGTACATCCACTTCTGTTTATGTATACTGGGTAGGGATAGTTAGATTTACCATCCATTATATGCTCCAACAAAAGAACGAACTTCATTCCCCAAGATGGAAGGCAAATGTCCCTCACTGATTCCTGAGGCAGCCGTGGAAGATCCCCTCTTCCGATGACCAATCAGGTAACAGTGACGTACCTCATTGGTCCCTCGATTGTTGTTCTTCAGCTTTCTCGGAGATGAACTAAGCATCATCTCGCATATCTTGCACTCCATTCACTCGGATTCCCCTTATTTAGTCCCTCCTTCAAAGATTCTGGTCTCACCACAAATTCCCCCGCGCTTTTACTGAAACTAGCTGATAACGCTACAAGCTGCTGGGTTTTTAGTATACCGTCAGCATGGAGCGTAATCCCGCCATTCAAGATGAGGACGTCTCTCAGTTTTGTGCTATGACCGGAGTACGTCCTGAGCATGTAAGTCTCTCTTCCCTTTCGCGCATACATCTATCCGTCGCTAACTTGTCTTGTTTCAAAGGCACAGGAGTACCTCGCAGCCAATGGAGGGGATCTTGAGGCCGCGGTGACTGAATTCTTTGCCGAACAGGATGAAGCTTTACAGGAGGGAAACACAGGTGCTGGCCAGACTCTTGGAGAAAGTGAATCTGCGCCGTCCGCAGGCCGGTCCCTAGGTGGCAGCTCCTCTCAGTCACCATCCTTTACCCCGCAACCATCCTCCACATCACGCAAATCCGCTCAGAAAAAGAAGTTCGCGACACTGGGTGATTTCTCCTCCGGTGGTGGTGATGACTCGGAGGAGGAAGATGACGCAGTGAACCAGGATTTGTTTGCTGGTGGTGAAAAGTCCGGACTAGCTGTGCAGAACCCCGATGATATCAAGAAGAAGATCATCGAAAAAGCAAGACGGTTAGTCAGGGCGATTCTGTAAAGCAGACTTGTGTAGGTCGTGAAAGGCTAAACATCTCTTAGGTCTCAAGTCCCAGCATCGGATAACTCGGAACCCCGACGGTCCTTCTTTACAGGTCCCGCTCGCACTCTCGGCGGCGATGACACCCCCAGTCGGGTCATTGATGTTCCTAACGAACCTGCCGCGCGACTACCACAGCGCGTTCAGCGGACACTACACTTCTGGGCTGATGGGTTCTCTGTGGACGACGGTGATCTTTACCACTCTGATGACCCCCGAAACGCGGAAATTCTCGATGGTATTCGCCAGGGTCGCGCTCCCCTTTCCATCATGAATGTGCAACCGGGTCAGGAGGTCGATGTGGAGATTAAACAGCATGAGGAGAAATATGTGAAACCAAAGCCGAAATACAAGCCTTTCGCTGGTCATGGACAACGTCTAGGAAGCCCGACCCCGGGTGTGAGAACGCCAACTCCTCCGACTGCCCCTGCTGCCGGCCAGATCAACTCAGAGCCTGCCAAGCCTAGTGTGGATGAATCGCAGCCGATTGTCACCCTTCAGGTTCGTCTCGGTGACGGAACACGCCTGACGTCCCGATTCAACACCACGCATACCATCGGGGATGTCTATCAGTTTGTCTCTGCTGCCAGTTCGGGCAGCCAGAGCCGTCCCTGGGTGTTGATGACCACGTTCCCAAGTAAAGAGCTTACTGACAAGACGGCTACCCTTGGAGATCTGGCCGAGTTTAGGCGAGGAGGTGTCGTGGTACAGAAATGGCAATGAAGAGTTAACACATGGTCCACCATTATAGACTACACAGGTTGGGTGGGACAGGCTCGATTGTTTTCAAAAGTCTGAAGCCGAGGGTCGAGAACGTTACAGTTTTCTACCAGACTCGAAGTTGTTGGATGATTCATGATAGCAAGCAATTTAGACCATTGACTTGTCTCCCGAGAGCACTAATGAAAGATTCCATGTTGAGTAATGACCATGACTGACGCTAGGACCTTAGAAGTTGTACGATTTCAGAACCTTGATCTGTTTAAATCCCCCCTTGTAGAACCCCCCCGAGTAGATATTATATACAGTGGGCGTTTATAGGTATTTTAAGTAAAATGGAGAGATGGCGAACAGACCACCCAATGGGAACGATTCCAAGTCAATCAGTGATGGAATGATTGATAAGCAAAAATGAAATAAATCCACTCCGCAGAATGACGCAGAAATCCCGCGGCGAAATCGGCTTTTGCCATCTTATCAGCAACTCAAACCAACCATGCATGGAATCTGATATCCCTCACTACTACCCCCGAGACAAACAATTGCTACCGGCTAAATGCCTCTAGACGGCGTCAAAAATATTGTGCTGGTGAGTCTCACTCAATTCATTTAGAAACCAAAACAGTAAAGAAAAACATATGCCCCTCATCGCTTATCGATAACGATCATCTTTGGTTCAAAAGCGATGTCTGGCTGTATAGCGGGCATATTGACCATAAAAACTAAACAGGTTATAACAAGTAACATAGACACTAACATAAATCACAATCACAGGTTCTATCCGGCAAAGGAGGCGTCGGCAAATCCTCCGTCACCCTCCAACTCGCACTGGCCCTCACCTTACAAGGCAAGTCAGTCGGTATACTCGATATCGACCTAACAGGCCCCTCGATCCCCCGTCTCGTGGGATTCGAAGATGCAAAGATCACCCAAGCGCCCGGGGGCTGGGTCCCCGTAACAGTGCATCCGGCGTCTGCAAACGACGGCGCACAACGAGGATCGCTCCGCTGCATGTCACTGGGGTTCCTGCTCCGCGATCGCGGCGACGCTGTCATCTGGCGCGGACCAAAGAAAACAGCCATGATCCGACAGTTCCTGTCTGACGTTTATTGGGGGGAGACGGACTACCTCCTCGTAGATACACCGCCTGGCACGAGTGATGAACATATTGCTTTAGCGGAACAGTTGCTTAGATCGGCAACCACGAATCCGGCTGCTGCGTCGCCGACTGTGCCGAGACTGGCGGGTGCGGTTTTGGTCACCACGCCCCAGGCGGTTGCGACGTCTGATGTTCGGAAGGAGGTGAATTTCTGTGTGAAGACGCAGATTCCTATGCTAGGTGTTATTGAGAATATGTCGGGTTATACGTGTCCGTGTTGTGGGGAGGTGACGAATTTGTTTTCGAGTGGTGGGGGGCAAGTAATGGCTCAGGAGACAGGCGTGAAGTTTTTGGGCGCTGTGCCGGTGGATATCCAGTTTGGAGAGTTAGTGGAGGGGAAGGTGGTTGACGAGAGTGACGATGAAGATGCAGACGGTACACAGTCGGGGCAGAGACACGAGCAGAAGCAGGATGCGGTGATGGATGAAAGGCCGTTGGTGGAAAGATATAAGGATTGTTGGTCATATTCCCGGTTTGAGGGATTTGCGAAAACACTGCTATCTGAGATAGAGGGTGGCATGGCGAACTAGTCTTTTCTTCATGGTTCCTACTGGTCTGGGTTCATTGTTAAGAGGGCTTGTTCTCATGTTTATTATACCACCTTTGCATATGAGACTGGAGTTTATATTGCTTCTTAGACACCGCTGTGTCTGATTCACTGTGTCGCTGTTTTTCTCCGAACAACACGAGGCACGAGGACAGCAGAAGCTGGAGAAATTCACATAATACTTATCACACATCTTATCATAGTCATAATTGTGAAATATCATCAATGACTGTACTTATCCTTCATAATGTGGATCATCATCATCATCATCATCATCATCACCACCACCAGCTGTGACCAATAAAAGTAGATACATTTACATCATAGAGAACAAAAGTCGTTAATCATCATTTGCATATACTCCAGAAGAGTCCGGGTCCTGCTGTCGCTCAAGCATTGCGCGCAATCTCATCTCCGCTGTTGGCTGAGTTTGACCGGAATTAGACCCGTCGCGCACAGCATATTTTAGCCAGCCGAAGACATCCGTCAACACAGATAACCCTACTGCCGACAGAACCCAGCTCCTTCGCGCTATATCAGAATCTAGGCTGATGTCAAAGAGGGGCTGGCCTTGAATAGCATGAGGTTCCGTTCCCAAAGGGCGTCCATCGGCCTGGGCATCTAGAAGAACCTCAGACACAAGGGTCGGTGTTTGAATAAGTCGTCTTCGATCGTCTATGCTCAATTCAGCATTCGTTGCCAGCAATACCCGGCCGCATGACTTTGGCCTGGATGCAATCTCTCGCGTTATAGGAAGTGGCCCCAACGCAGAAGCCGAATCCAAGATAGTACTAAAGCCCATCGACCGTGGAGTGTCAGGGTGTACTTGAACGGACGACACTTCTACACTGTAAAATGGTAGCATGGGGTCAAATCCTGCGTTACGAGACGCTCTACTTTGCCGAGCATTCTCCATGAACCCAAATGGCATAGGTGAGGGGTGATTCTTCCCGTCCATAACGCTATGGTCATCATCGTAAATAACCACATTGTCGTTAGCCTGTCTTTCATGTTCTGAGCTAGCTTCGTCCACGGGCATTAGGCCGCCAGGGGGTGCCCGGATTTCGCCTAGGGGTGCTATATGGCTACCATATTCGTTGGCTAAACTGAGCTTACTCCGTCCACAGATCTCCCCAATTGAGTCCAAGGTATGGCGAATATTAGGTTCAATAGCCCGTATGATGCCATCGATGCTGAAGTCCTCGTCTGAAGGAAGGTCCGGCCCTCGCCTTGAGGTTTCAGCGCGGCCTGCGAATGGGAACGACCGCCGTAGAGACATCTTTGACGATTTCGCACTATCCCCAGGGCCGCCGGAATAGGCCCGAACTAGGACGGGCCGCGAGGGTGAAGTCGAGTGGCCACCGCCAGTTTGGGTTACTTGTGGGTGATCCCACGAGAGGGGCCTGGAATCTTCACTCAAGTGACGCAAAGCAGTCGTGCGATACGCCCGAGCAGAGTCGTCTAGAGCCGACTCATAACGATAAGAGTTTGTTTGCTGAGATGGACCGGCAGTCTCAACGACTGGGTGGGAGTGGGCAAGAGGAAACCGAGGACATCTCTGACGTGACAAGGACGAATGGATTTCATCAGGGTGAGTGAACAGTCTTCTTCCTGACTTATAATCCATCGTACGGACAAGGTTATTCACAACCACTCGTCGTCGATGCAGTGTTCGTCTGTATGTACAGGACTCACTAAAGTAACGCATAAGACCACAGAGGGAATAATGCAAGCACCTTCTCCAGCAGTGTCTTGTCTAAACTCCACTCTCACACCAGTTCGCGACAAGTTCGTTGAACGGCAGCAGTGTATACCTGTCAGACAGTAATAGATGAGTCTCTGAGCCACGTATACACGCGCTATACATTACTTGTGAGACACGGCTGCAACTGAGACACGCAAGGAATGTAACGGTGGCATACGTTAAGAGAGCATGACTACACTTGTTGCAGAACGGGAGCTCTCGGATAGTACGCTGATTGACTGTGGTTGACGGGAAGATGCAGTTCATGCGCTGGTCGAATAATAATAGGTTTTGATAGTTTAGCCGGTGAAACCAAATCCGGAACTGAAGTGGTACAACATTCTAACCCCTACTTGAGTTCCTACAGCTACTTTGTATATAAAATTCTAATCTATTTCTAGCTCTAGTTCTATTTCTATTTATATTTCTATTTTTAATTTTTATTCATTTTTTATTTATTTCTGATTTTGATTTTCTTCTAATGATCTATCTTGACATCTCCCGCATTCTCTGTCAAGGGGATACAAAGCCAGGACTTTAGGTTTATTACAGTATTGTACATTGATTTCGAAGATCGACTTTCCAATTATGAGATGAGTGTTGCTAGAGCTTCGATCTACTGCTTTCTCCTATGCTTCTAACTACAAGATGCCTAAAATCAGATGTATTGTATAATAGTCTCTATAGATCCCGTTCCATTGTTGAACCGGTGGAACCAGACCATAAAGGGAAAGCGTTCCAAAGGACAGTCACTCCATAAATTAAATACCGGCCAACTACTTACCTTACAAACTACTACCTAACTAACAGTACGAGGTAACTTACCCCAGAGCCCGAGAACGACCTACCTTCTACAACTACTCCACCACAAGGTTGTTTTTCGACGAACTTCCAGTAGATCTTTACATATTCCCAAACTTTCTTTCCATCGCTCCATTTGCACGCGTAAAGATTGCAATGAATAAGTTTCGCGTATGCAAAACCCCGTTTGATCGTTGTTGGTCCCCACCATAAACTCTTTGTTGATTCACCGTAATGCGACAGTTTGGCGACTCGGACGAGTCTACCTCCGACCTCGACGACGATACCTCCGGACTCCCTTTTCCAGAGCCCCTGTCCCGTTCCTCCTTCCTCGCCCCCGACTTTGACCCCGCAAAGTACCTGTCCTCCCTGACAAACCGCCATCAGAGCCTTGAAGACCTACGGCAGGAATTGCGCGACTTGGACCAACTGCTTAGTCGGGAGTTACTGGACCTGGTGAATGAGAATTACCAGGATTTTTTGTCGCTTGGGATTGCACTGCGGGGAGGGGAAGAGAAGGTAGAGCAAGTTCGAGTTGGACTGTTGACGTTCCAACGGGATGTCCAGTCCATCCGCGATAAGGTTGACGCCCGGTATCGAGAGGTAGAGCAACTAGTGGAAGAGAAGAAGCGCCTACGGAAGAATGCAAATGTTGGGAGAGCGTTGTTGGATTACGCCGATCGGGTTGACGAACTAGAAAGGAAACTGATGATTGGAGACACCACACCTGTGCGCCAAGGCGACGCTGCTAAGGATCTCGATACGGATTCCGATCTACTGGACAGTGAAAGCGAGGAGAGTGAAGATGAAGCGATCCCGAACGGCGCATCAGCCACGCCCCTGGTATCACTGAAGAGGCTCGAGCATCACATTCAAAAATATGTATACTTGACAAGATTGTCGTCGCGGATAGGTGACGATCATCCATTCCTGGTCAGTCAACAGCCACGACTGTTGAAAATTAGATCTGCAGTACTCTTGGACCTTAAAACTGCGCTCGAACAAGCGAAGATCGCGGGCGAGAAACGGGATACAAAAACGCTGGCCGTATTGCGTCTCTACAAACTCATGGGGGAGGACACCAGTGCAGTATCTGCACTGAAGAATCTGAAAATATAGAACCTGTCCGGTACATGAACCAGGCTTTTGCATAGCGTTGGCGTTTGGGGTGTTGGGTTCTCCAGGAATATATGAAACAATACCATTATACACCGTGTCCTTCCTAATATAACATAATTTGTACACCCAAAAACGCACGGAACTTGAAGCTATTTTACAGACCGCTCAAAGATGCAGTATCAGGGGAATTGTCGGACTTGAACTCTCCGTTCAAACTGAAACCAGGGCCATTGGTAGAGCTCAGCACCTAATCGTAGTCAGCTAAGTTGATACATGTGCTTTCAGAGTAGAGACCAGCCTACCACTTCATAGATCTCCTTGTTTATGCGGTCATTGAGGCCGGCCGCATCCTTCTTGATCTGCTCGAGAGTGGCGCGCAGATTGTCTCGCAACTGCTCGGGGGTGAATGCCAGCTGCCCAATTGGAAGTCGAATGACAGCATCTCGTTCCCTGTATACCGTACCACCACGCAGCATTTCAACTCTCGAAGCGACATCTTCAACAACGGTACCTGTCTTTGCGCTGGGCATCAATCCTCTAGGACCGAGGACCCTGCCCAGTCCGGCCCTGTTCAAGGCCTCCAAGCTATCCGGGTGACAGATCAGACGATCGAACTCGATTATGCCCTTTTTCACATTATCAAACACCTCTTGTTCTCCGACAAGAACGGCTCCAGCCGCACGAGCCTCCTTCTCATGCCTAGATCCAGCAGGGCAGACGACACAGATCCGTGATTCTGTTTGGACTGAATGAGGAAACCGGAGCATGTTGCGGATCACTGGGCCGTCTTTCATCGTCTTCAACCGGATGTGGACTTCGTATTTGGAGGTAGCTGGTTCGCGGCCGACCTCGAACGCACGAAGATACCTAACAGATTCCACGTCAGTAAAAAGGTGAAATTTGGACATGGCCAGACACGTTACGCGTACCTCATAGCATCGCAAAGCGCGTATTGATCAAGATCCTTCAGATCCCTTTGCTTGAACTCACGAGGACCCTTCTTTGTCTTCTTACTCTTTTCCTTGTTCTTTTTACCTTGTGCTTGAGGGTTGTTCTTGGCTCCTCGAACCTGCTGAAAGCTGGAGAGGAGAGGGGCCATTGACCCCTGGCGAAGCGGAGAGCGGCATGACGACAAGAGACTCCTTGCCGCGGTGGGCATGAGTGAACTGTAGGAAGCCATTGCGGTGGCTATAAGATGTGACTTCCCGGTGTTCTTGCGGAAAGGGAATGTTTTCTGCCCGAGAGCTCTCCGACCTGCGGGCGGCGCGCGGAGAAATGTGACGCCGGCGGAACCCCGATTGAGTCAATGCCCCTCCAAGTATTTCATGATGCTCTTCTTCCCACCACACAAGATCTAGAAGGATTCATTCGGATTTTTACCAGTGAATTCGGAGACATCATGTCTAATATGCAGTTGACCTTGGCCACCAAGGCCAACCAGGCTTCTCTGCTTCCTGTTCTTCTTGTCGCAACCTCTATCAATGAAGCACGACCATCCCCGGTGATTAACATCACCTACGAGGACAAGGCTGTTCTTGACCAGGGCGATAAGGCTGTTGTTCAGTTCACCGGTATTAGTGGAACTCCTGTTTTCGGAACAGTGAATGCTATCCAGGAGTTGCTCAAGGACTTCCCATTCCTCAACTCGAAAGATCAGAAGCTGGTACGTTACATATCTTTATAACCCCAGTCTATGGTTGCTATCCTTCTACGGTTGGGGGCCATTCGTCTAATAATACTACTAGGAGAACGAGTGGCTTTCTCAGCTTGATACCTTTACTACCCTCGACTTCAAGGCCCTTGATCCTTTACTCCAGCGCCTTAACACCCATCTCCTTCTCCGGTCCTTCATCGTCGGATACTCGCTTTCCACAGCTGACATTGCCTTGTGGGGTGCTCTCCGCGGAAACCGTGTCGCTATTTCTGCTATCAGAAAGGGAGCTCTTGTCAACTTGACTCGGTGGTTTACCTTCTTGGAAGACCTCTGTCCGTGGGCCACATCTGCCCTTGAGGCGCTGAATGTCGCAGCAAAGGACAAAAAGGCTACCAAGGGCAAGGAAGGCGGTGCTAACTACGACGTTGCGCTTCTGAACACTGATAAGGGTGTCGTGACCCGGTTCCCCCCTGAGCCTTCAGGATATCTCCACATTGGTCACGCCAAAGCAGCCCTTCTCAATGATTATTTCGCCCACGAGAAGTACAATGGCACATTGCTTGTCCGCTTCGATGACAGTGAGTTCACCTCCACCCTACAACATCGTTGACAACTTTCTCACATCTGTCAAGCCAACCCTACCAAGGAAAACTCCGAGTTCCAGGATGCTATCGTTGAAGATCTTGCTCTCATGGGCATCAAGCCCGACAAGATGAGCTATACTAGTGACTACTTTGACCAGCTCTACGAGTATGGTGTACAGATCATCAAGGATGGAAAAGCATATGCCGACGATACAGACAAGGAGACTATGGCGGCGCAGAGAATGGACGGTCTGCCTAGTAAGCGTCGTGATGCTACTGTTGAGGAGAACCTTGCTCGATTCGAGGAAATGAGGAAGGGCTCTCCTGAGGGTCTTGGCTGGTGCATTCGTGCCAAGGTATTTAAGGTTCATATCTTCACTTCAGGAGCATTTTCTCACATCAGTCTTTAGATCTCTGTCGATGATAAGAACAAGGCTCTTAGAGATCCTGTTATCTACCGGTCCAACCCTGACCCGCACCACCGCACGGGCACCAAGTGGAAGATCTACCCCACTTATGACTTTGCATGCCCTATTGTCGACTCTATTGAAGGTGTTACTCATGCTCTTAGAACTATTGAGTACCGTGATCGCAACCCTCAGTACCAGTGGATGCTGGACGCCCTCAAACTCCGCTCGGTGCAGATCTGGGACTTTGCTCGGATGAACTTCATCCGAACCCTTCTGTCCAAGCGCAAGCTTACTAAGCTTGTTAACGAGGGCGTTGTCTGGGGCTGGGATGACCCTAGGTTCCCTACAATCCGTGGTATTAGAAGACGAGGCATGACCATCCCTGCCCTGCGGGAGTTCATACTCAGACAAGGCCCAAGCAAGAATATTACAAACCTTGACTGGACCCTCATCTGGGCGACAAACAAGAAGTATATTGACCCAGTTGCACCTCGCCATACCGCCCTTCTTCAGAAAGACGTTGTCAAGGCAACTATTAAGGGAGCTCCCGCACCCTACACTGAAGAGAAGCCCAAGCATATTAAGAACCCTTCAGTTGGCATGAAGAAGGTCGCCTACAGTGGATCCATCCTCCTTGACCAGGAGGATGCCAAGAGCTTCAAGCAGGATGAGGAGATCACCTTGATGAACTGGGGCAACGCCATTGTTCGCCAGATTGTGACTGACCCTAGCTCCGGTGTTGTTAAGGAGCTTGAGTTGGAGCTGCACCTGGAAGGTGATTTCAAGAAGACTGAGAAGAAAGTCACTTGGCTGTCTACTGACCAGGAGCTGGTCCCCGTGGAATTGGTCGACTTCGACTACCTACTCAACAAGGATACCTTGCAGGAGGATGATGCTCTGGAGGACGTCCTGAACAGGAACACCGAGTTCAGGGAGGGTGCTACTGCTGACTGCAATGTTGCTGAGCTGAAGGAGGGCGACATCATCCAGTTTGAGCGTAAGGGGTTTTACCGTGTGGACAAGGCTTACGCACCGGGCCAGCCGGCTGTTTTGTTCTACATCCCTACGGGAAAGACCGGCGGCAAATAAGTGTCCAATCTCAGTTGGGGTCCGCTCATAGAACGAGTCACGAAGATATGCTAGAAGACGTTTGGAAATAGAGAAGTCCATTACGCATACCAGTCCGAAATGGTGGCATAGTATGGTTATACATTATAATCTGGGTGTAGCAGCCACGGAAGTTAAATTGGACAAATAAACTTCATCGCACCCATAGAAAACAGGAGGAGAAGCAGTAAGTTAAGTACTAAGTGTGTCGGTACTACTACTACTACTACTACTACTGAGTAGTATGAGGTAAGTCGCATTGTTCTACACAGTAGTGATGACGGCACGGTATCAGACAAGCGTCGGATTGGATTAGGTTGTATCAGAATCTAATCCCAAGGAGGGAAGTATGTAGCCAAGGAAGGTATGTAGGGTTGAGATTTCAACACGACAGCATACATGATAGAGTGGATGATGAGAGGATTACGTCGTGAGATCCCCAGCCGGAAGCGTTAGGAAAGGAAGTCTGGAAGGACGTTGATGTTGGAATTAAAATTTACTTCCCGGTCAAGGTTACATTTTATACAAGACGCTCACTTAGGAAAGTGTCAAACGGGGAGAGTTACGGAGTTGGTAAGTTTCATTAGTAGGGACGCACTAAGGCAACTACTAGTACTAGTCCCAACTCGGACTGGGGCCATTCCCACCTGCAGGCAGTACTAGTAGTGCCGATCACTTGATTTAAGGTCGAATCCAACATTCCACTCTTGTCCGCAACATATCATATCCTTCCCATTGGTCTATACCTTCTCATCCTTCCAAGTTACCCAGCCCATAGGCTTTCGTGGGGGTTGTTACACTCCCGACGATTATAAGTGAGCAAGGGTGAACCCTTTTGAGCTCTCGTGTCCCAGCTGTTATCCTTTTATAGGAAGGTCTCCTGGTCAGGTCTTCCGTGGGTCCCCGACTCTCTTTCCGCTGGCATTTCAGGTCTAGAACCCTGGGTATCCTCCTCGTGTCATGCGGTTCTTCTAGAGTCAATTCTTTGCGTTGTGTATCTGAATGCCTGGGCATAGAAATGCCGGAGCGAATGGGCTCTGATGTTTCCCTGGCCCCTCGTTCATATACTTCAGCCGGGTTATTTCGGATAGGTCACCACCGTCTCATACGTCAAAACCATTGAGGATATCCCAACTCACACCCAAATTGACTTTGCGCTCAACCGGTGCACGCAGCCATGTCTGGTCAAAATACAGTATGGGCTTGTCCTCGACCGTTATTTAGCCTCTATCACAACTTGACTAGCCGGAAGCTTCCTAGGATCTACTACGTCAGCATGATAGTCTGTATGTAGTACGACTGTCCAACTCCGTCTGAGGGTTGGCCCTGTACACGGAGTTGGTGGTTATTGTAGCTCCCTTTGCCCTCACGGAAGGGAAATGCGAA